CTGCAAGAGGAAAGGTCACTTCGCAGCAGTTTGCGAGCAGTGCGACCGACTTGGCTCTCCAGCTGCTTGTGGTGAGCCGCGCCCCTTAGTCAAGTTCACGCAAGTGTTGGTTGACGGTCACTCCGTGAACTTAAAGATCGACTCTGGCGCCGAAGTCACTGCCGTACCCTAGACTTTTTCGGGCCTCCCTCTACAACTTGAACCGGCAGAAGGCCAGCTCACGGGACCTGGAAACTACGTGTTGACCGTTTTGGGCACGTTCAACGCCACTCTCACATGGAAGGGAACAACAACAGTCCAGCGCATCTATGTGCTGCCAGCATCGACCACGTCATTACTTGGCTTCCATGCAATCCTGGCCCTGGTTGTCGTCCGGTTCGCAGACGCTCTCACCAGCTTCGAAGGGCCACAGCAGCACACGCCTCTTTGTCGAGACATCTTGGACGGGCTGGGCGAACTGCGAGACAAGTATGGTCATTCGTCTCGAACCCGGGACATGACCCTTTTCGTTGAGCACGCCAAGAAGGGCTCTCCTTCCACTCCATGACGCTGTCCGGCACGAGCTCGCGAAACCTTAAGTTGACAGGGTCATTCGCCGTGTTGGCGGCCACAAAGAGTGGTGCTCTGGTATCGTTGTCGTCATTGTTCCGAAGCAGTCTGGAAACTACCGAATATGTGTCGATCTAACACATTTCAACCAGGTTGTCCTAGAGAGTGACGCATGCTCCCCTCCGTCGAGCACACTCTGGGACAACTTGGACAAGCTCAAGGTTTCTCCTAACTCGACGCAATGGCGAGTTTTTGTCAGGTGAAGCTTGCGGAAAGCTGCCAAAAACTGAGTACAATCATTGCACCTTTTGGGCGGTTCTGCTTCCGACGCCTCCCTGTGCCGAGCATCTGCTCGGCACCGGAATACTTCCAGCGACAGAGGAGCCGCGTCCTGGGAGGCCTCGAGGGTGTGGTGAACACGATCGACGACATCTTGGTCTTCGGTAACACTCAGGCTGAGCACTACCATCTCCTGAACGTCTTGCAGCATCTCCAGGCAGCTGGGGTCAAGCGCAACGACTCAGAGTGCGTCTATTCGGTGCGTGAAGTCAAGTTCCTGAGCGTCATGGTCAGTGACAAAGTCATCAGTCCCGGCTCGGAGAAGATCAAAGCGCTCGCAGACCTCGACGCTCCCTCCGACGTCAGCGGAGTGAGACGACCGCTGGGAATGGCCAATCATTTGGGACGTTTTCCTCCCCACTTGTCGGACAGAACAACACACCTCCGGGCTCTTCTTCAGAAGACCAGTACATGGGTTTGGGGTCCTGCACAGCAGCAAGCTTTCCACAAGCTTTCCACACATTGAGAGGGCTGCTCGACTCCAACGCCTGCATGGCCCGGTATGACCCTACCTACCCGACGAACGTGTCCGCCAATGCCAGCTTTTACGGTTTCGGAGCGGTTCTCCTGCAGCAACAGCCCTCTGGAGAGCAGCGTGCGGTAGCGTTTGCAAGTTGTTCACTAACACTGACGGAGTCCAGGTATAGTCAGACCGAAAAGGAAGCACTTGCTGTGGCGTGGGCGGCGTAATTGATTCGAGCAGTTTGTGCGAGGTATCCAGTTTGACGTCTAGACCGATCACAGGCCTCTAGTAACACTACTGAGCAACGCCGAGTTCGGCCTCGTCCCTCAAAGAATTTAACAGCTGTGGATGAGGCTTCTTAGCTTCCAGTTCCGGGTACTCTACGTCCCTGGAAAGCTTATCGCCACCGCCGATACCCTCTTCCAGGCTCCAGCTACCACGCTGGTTGACTCCCTAGATGTAGAGCACTTTGTGAACAACATCGTGAAGGAATGGCAAGACCTCCCTGCTTAGTGTCTCGAGCAACTGTACAAACATCAGGAAGATGTTGGAACCTGCATGGATCTGGCTCGTCTCTGCGAACGTGGGTGGCTGCGGCGAGCGTCGCAGGTTCCCGTCCATCTTCGCTGCTTTTGGAGCACAAGGAGCAACATCACAGTATAAAAGGGGCTGCTGCTCTGCAACAACCGAATCCTGGTTCCAGCTGTGCTAAGGATAAGGGTAACTTGCCAGAGAAATAGAAGAGATGCCGGACCGCCAAGTTTACACTGCTGCCAAAAAGATGGCAGCAGTGTGTCTTCTCGTCGTAACAGACAAGAAGAGGTTCCAAGGCATTCTGTTGTAAGAGGTCACAAGTGTGTGAACGGGCCTTAAAGGGACAATGAAGGCAATTTCGGATATCTTTTTGGCAATTGAACTGGGTTACAGGCACGTTTCAGGCCACATTGCCCAAATTTCAGCCGAAACCGGCGCTTGTGTGCCGCACAAATAAATTAAACAGTCGCGGTAATAATCCCGCCGGGATCGACTAGGCGACGCCCCGAGAGAGTTGCGGGAGAGGCCGGGAGAAGCGGAGCTCACGTGACCTTTGCGGGGCCAAGAAGCGCGACGTCACAAGAGACTCGTCAGCGAATGGTCGAAACGAGGGACGTGCCCTTGGTCACGTTTTGGTTCGCGATTTTTAGAAATGCTGTTCTAATTTCCGCTTGAATAACCATGAAGAGTGTAAATCGGACCGGAAATGACTACTAAACCGTAAATAAAACAGCATAATTGTTTTTTTCTTTGCTACGCTGGACGCGAAACAGGCAACAAGCAACTATAAGCAAACAAAGAAAAAGAAACGCACGGGAAACGTTTGGTTTGGATTTCAGATGTTGGTGTCGTGTTTACTTTGGGAACACTGCACTCGAAGGATTCTGCAAAATGGTAGTCATGCTACATTTGTGCGCTGTAGATGGCTGTTCTAACGGTCGACTGAAGACCAGTATTCGTTCGGGTGACGCTAGTTTTCACGTGCGAGTTGCTGTTCGTGTTCTTTGACGACGAAAAAGAGGACGTCTGACTTCGGTGAAAATCAGAAATGGTGCTGTTTATTTTCTCCTTGGGAAGCGTCCCCCGCGAAGCATCCGGTTTCCGGAACGGCCGGTTCGCTGCCGCTTTACCCTCGGCATCTCCCCGCGTCCCTGTCCTCGAGCAACGCGCCGCTTTCGTCTCGCCTGCATGTATGTTGCTCACCACTTCCCTCCCGAACTCGCCCGCGAGAGCGGCATTGTCGTCCATGTTGACAGGTTCGACGAAACGACCGCGCCACTGCGCTTCTATAACCCACCCCGGTAACCGGAGTCTCGATCTCCTAAATACTACCAATACCGACTATTCACATTTGACGTCACTGCCTGCATCACCTCCGTTTTTGGAGGCCCAGAAATGAGAATGGAGATAGTTCAGTCCTTCAGTTCTTTTGTAGGCACAGAAATACGCGTCCGAAATTTCTGCAAAAAATTAGGCACGCTAGGTTCCCAAGAAGCCTAAAAGCACCATTTAAGAAAGTTATATAAATTTTATTTAATTTTTTTAAACGTCCACTTTTCAATTTTGTAACATTCGAAAAATTTTACAAAAGACATCTTTACGTATTGTTGACCTAAGAAGGCGCCCATCCCCCAGTAAACATGATCATCTAAGAATTTTGAGTAAGCGCTTGCTCAGGATTTTACGGCAGATAAAACTTGGTCGTAATATCTTATGTGTGGTCTGCCTAGGTGATAATAAACAAATTGCATTGTTTAAAAAAGAAAAGAAAATTGGAAGTGGAGTTTCTCTTTAAAGGGGTGCTGAACCGTAATTCGGATTTCATAATATAAGCTTCCTTTCCTCTCCGCGCCCTCGCTGAGTCAAAGTGAAAAGAGGAGGAAATGAGAATTGTGAGGTCACGCGTCTTTTCGGCCTTGTTTGAGTGCACTCTTCTTTTACAAAAATATGGCGATCAGTTGGAGATACTGCTTTATGAGTAATGTTTTGGGATTTGTAGCGTCCCGCCTATTGATTGTTTTCTGATATTTGATTTTCAATTCAGCATCCCTTTTAAACTCTTCAACCCCTTAAGTGCCTTCGACGAGCTTGAGCTTGTCTGGAACTTTCTGGCCAAAATGCCACGCACGAGCTCAGCTCGTCTAGTGGTTTTTTTGGTAGCCCTCAATTCCTCGGACGAACATAGCTCGTCTGAGTGGTTTATGTCACTGATCATAGATTGTAACACTTGTTTTAGTTGGTGTTTTTTCTTTTTTCGGCACATTGGTGGGATAAATGAAAAAGATACTCTGTTAACAATTATTTAAAAATGGTGTCGCTACCCAACGGAGCACATGGAACTTCATCGCGAATAAGAAAAGCAATCGCTGGAGAAAGCTTGAGTGACTCGGAAGAAGTTGAGTTTTGTTTGTCGAGTTAAGACTATTCCGACTTTGTTGCTGAACTCGGAAAAAAACCGATGACGACCACAAGAATGATTCAGATGGTAGTAGCGATTCCACACAGTCCGCAACTTCAAATAAGTTGGCTGTACCATACTTTGTGTTTGAGTTTTGACTAATTAATAGTCTTACCCAATTGGTACTGAGAGATTTACATCCAGGGAACACTTGCTTGCATAAGAGGAGCTCAACAGCCCATATATTCCTTTAAGCCTTTATACTGTCAAGTGTTCTCGGTCATTGCAACATCTCTGTGTCAGGTATTTTCACAATAAATCAAGGGAGGTAGTAGAGTCACTGATCAAATACTCAAACAATGACAATTCATCTTTGAAGTAACATTGTCCAGAGGGTCACATTGGCTCCATAGACAATCCTAGCTGACTCATAGAATTTTGCTGCTTTCCGAAAACTGACTACAACTCTTACAACTTTCTGAGGCTGTGCACCTCTCTCTAAAGCAACATAGTCAAAATAATCATGTGCATGTTGCATACATGCACACTCCCGTTAATGTGACAAACAAATCTCACGGTTAAAGTGGAAAGTGTATTGTGTACATTCAAAGCACCATTGTTTAATATTAATGTGAATGGCATAGAGCATAAAAAAAAAAAAAAGGTAACTTCAAAATCTGTAATAAATTCCACTTCCTTTTTTGCCTTCTGTTTCAGCCGACCGGCAAGGTCTAAAGCTTCCCAAGAGCGCAAGGTTTGTGTTCGTCCAATGTCCTACTGTTTATAACAGTGTTCTGTTTGTTTGCATTGGCAAACTGTTACTTTTATACTTGTGATTTAAAGCAATTACACTGCTTTTTGCTTGCAAAGTGCTTGAACTGTGATGCCTCGTTAATATGGACCTCATTAATATGAATACATTAAGATACAGACACCATTTTTGGGAACGAACTGGGTAAATACATACATTTTTGTCTCATTATAGACAACTCATATTATGAACAATTTTGAAGGGAATAGAAGTGTCCATATTAATGAGACATGACTGTACTAGGCCACTTTTTTCTGTCTAAACCACGTTTCTGTGTCCTGTTTCTATCGAGCTTGTTTCATGCTTGATGCTGGTAGCCCTGCAAATACAGTCAAACCCGATTGTTTCGGGCACGGGTATATCGAAGTAGAATTCTAATAATAAGTCCACGCATTTTTAACTCCATATTGAATATGATCTGGCTCATAATGGATATGTTGAACTCTCCCACGCCAGATTGTGCGTGCTCCGGTTGCATGTGGCGCGCTTCCCCGCAATACACCGACGCACAGCGGTGGTGCGGCGGGCGCTTGCGACTCTAGAATGCTTGACCAGCACCGTGCACGCATGCCGTTGGCGCCATGTAGGGCACTGGTGTTGCCTATGCCCATGTCCGCGCCACCCTCTCTGCCTGCACTCGGCAACTCGGTCGGTTTCTTTCAATTCTCTTTTCCCAATCGTGATGGCTGCCAGTGTGCAGAAACGGACGTCGGCGACGACGACATCCGTTGCTCTCAGATGTCGGTGAGCTCCGACGTGGTTTCCGTAACGTCTTTGCGGAAACCATGGCGGAGCTGACCATCGTTGAGGCAGAGGCCGAGGACTCCGTACCGCTTTTGAGCTAGACTGAGGCCGTCTCAGTCATGACCCTGCTAAGCTGCTACTGCAGTGCCATTGAGGGTGGCGGACTTGCGGTTGTCGACCGTTCAGATATCGTGGAGCGAGCAGTTGCCAGGTATGCGATGAGTTCGAAGAAATGGGCTACATTTGCACAGTCCTTTTCTCCCCAATAAATGGTTATCCTTTTGACAAAGTGGTCCAATCAGTGGTGAAGTGCAGGCTGGTAAGGGCTCCGAGTTAGCTCATGAATGTGGCTGCTGTTTTGCTATTACGTGCGTTTTCTTTTTTACTTCTGTACATTGAATTTTCGATGTATGAAACTATTTTACTATGTTCGCGCCGTTCGATAAAAGTGGACTTGGCTGGTGACCTCCTAGTTGTAGGCAGCCACTTTTTGCATGTGTCGTGTTTTGACTAAGCCTAGTTTTCAAGTACATCTTTTGAGTCTTCCAGCGTCAGTGTCTGTCTGCATTCTCTTTCAGTTTGAGGGAATCTACAGCAATGCCAGATTTGTCCAGATTGCTGCTTCCCTTGTGGTATGTATCCTGCCCCTGAGGTCGTCTCTTGCCCTAATTATACGTTGTCTAAAACATACGTCTTGCCTGTGTACCATTGAGTGAATGAATAGACCCCTTTCAGAGGTCCGTGTCAACGCCTGTCCGCCATTGCTTCTTCACATTCACTGAGCATGTATTGGACATAAGGGCTTCGTCAGTGTTCCACAAGAACTCGGTGTGAATCACGCGCTTCCTTCCCATAGATGGATGGGTAAATGGATGGGTGGATGCATGCATGCTAATGACCATACCCTTTATAGTGGGCAGTAGCTTGTGCCACTTAGTCTAGAAATCAAAAGCATGATTCATCCCCATCGCCCTTCCAAGCCTATTTGCTCCTCCTCTGCATTTTTGTAACTATTACCAGGTAGTGTGGGGGATGCCACCAAAATAACCTTTAAATAATAAAGAAATATATATATATATATATTTTGTTAGCGGGAGAGTTGTTAATTTTCCTCTGGTCGAACCTAGTCGGCGGTGCCCCACCATTGGGCCGACTGGGAGGCAGGGTTCAGACTTTGGGCTGGAGCCACATGGGAGGGGGTCCCAAATTTCCTCTGTCCCCTGTCCTGCCTGTCCCCAGCTGTGCTAGTTGGTTTTTCATCATCCAATTTTCTCTGGATGATTTACACCAATCTTCTAACCTCCTTTTTGCGACTGTAATTCTTTCCTCCTTCATACTTCCATCTTTGCCACCAAAACCAAGCAATGGCGAGCAATGGAGACTGCCAACGTTGCTTGGTGGACTTCTGAAAAGGGTCTGGTGAAGCTTCTAAGCAGGGTTGTAAAAGTTAAAAAAAAACTTACCTAAGATACAGTTACAGTTACTCATACGAAAAGGTATCTGGGTACAGCTGCAACGGAAAAAGTAGCACAAATGACCGACGACCGAAGCGGCAAAGTCTCGACATGCGTCGCTATTGTTCCGAGCGCGCCAATAGCAAGAGTGCCAGTCACGTTCCATGTCTCAACGGGGGTGGCCGGCGGAAAACAGCCCATCATAAAGCCCTCATTTTAGCAGCTATCTTATTCCCCAATTTTCTGCCGGCCACCCCCGCGTTGAGACATTTAACGTGACTGGCACTCCCGCTATCGGCATGCTTGAGGACAAGAGCGTCGCGTGTCGCGATTTTGCCGCTCCTCTCATCGGTCACTTGTGCTACTCTTTTTTCATTGCAGCTGTACATGCTTAAAAATGTGCCTAGGTGCTGGTATATACTTCAAATATTTATTTTCCCCAAGTTTGTCAGAATATATTGGAAGTAAAGCTTTTTATACTAAGGATACACACAAAAACGAGTTCAAAAAATATGCTTTATTGGTTTCAATGTAATGTCCACATCGGAGTTGAGTCCTCATATTGGTTCAGCTAGGCCACAACTTCCACTGTTTACCAAGTCACGCCGAAGCCGCCAAAACTCGCTTGTTGACGTTCTTGCCCTCAGAGCCGGTGCTGACGTCGACGAGCCCAGAAGACGTCGGCCGCATGAAGAAACGCACTAGTCGAGAGCATATGCGCCTAACCTTCGTGACTACGAGCGAAAGGCTTCAAGCTTCTTTAGTTTATTTTTCTTTCGTTAGTAAGAAAACAAAAAAACAAGCCCTATTTTTTTGCACTTTTTTTGTTATATAATTGCAATACTTGAGTTGGATTTATTGAGTAGAAATGGTATTATATACGCAATGTTACATTGCTTTACAAGTGTAATTATAGTTTATTTTCAATTATATTTTATATTGTATTTATGGCAGAAGAGAGCCACCACCAGGACAAGATACAGGAAATAGAAACTGCAATCCTCTTTCAACAAGTTATCTCCTCCCTTGTACAGCTGTCGGAGGAACTTGTAACATGCAATGAAGTCGATTTCGGTTTGAGATTAAGGAAGCAGCTCGCTATTGTCCCTAAACGGAGTTCCGGAGCGATTAGATAAATTGTTGTCTCTAGAACAGCATCGCTAATCCACTGTTCGCTCACATGAACACTGCCATTTGGTAAAGTGTCGTTTGATGAAACATCATGGGCAGGGCTTCGTTCGCTCAAACGTCGTTCAATCAAGTCAGTGCCTACTAGGTCGTACCGAACTGAACGCTAATCACGGCACATGGTAGCGTGTTAATACTTTTTTATAGTTTCTTCCATTTTGACAAAGTGAATAGAAAAGTACCTGTAAGAAGTAACTTCACTTAGTTACAAGTTACTGGAAAATGTATGGTATGCCCCTAACCTAACGTCGCCACGAGATGGTCCGGTTTCTTCTCTTTTTGAGCTATCTTGAACCTAGCGGTCAAACTAGTTGGTGAAGATTGGTGACGATGAAAACCCAACCAGGGGAAGGTATTCCAGCGGCTGCAGGGTAGAGTTTATCTTTGGATAGCATGCAATAGATCAGTATTTGCGTAACCGAGTGGCGGCGTTAAGTTTGAGGGGCACTGTACCTACGACACGGATACAGATGCCAAGAAATGAAAATGCCTAGGTTTGTACCTCAGGTACAACAAAAGTACCTAGATACCGATTTCTAGTTACTTGTACCTAGGTACTTTACAACCCTGCTTCTAAGCAGTCTTGGGTAAGTTACTTTTAAAAAGTAATTCGTTACAGTTACAGTTACTTTCAGAAAAAAGTAGCGAAGTTACCGTTACAGTTACCGCAACAAATAAGTAACTCGTTACAGTTACAGTTACTTTTAAAAAGTAACGACGTTACTTTCCAGTTACTTTTCTATAACACAAAAAAAAATTTAGGAAAAACTAGAAAACGCTTTTCACCAAGTTTATTTGCATAAAATTAAAAAGTGTGCTTTTTACTTTATATTGTAAGTTAGCAGCAGTTGCTTCTCGAAATTAGTGTCTGAGAGTTTTGTTTGATAACAAACACGTCCCTGTCCTTGCTGAACAGGCGCTCGTCTAACGCGCTGGTTGGGATTGCTGTGTTGTTTCGCCGGAACAGGTTTTTTATTGCCGGGTAGGCGTTGAGGAAACAGAGTGCCGTTTTCTGCGGTTAAGTTGTTAGTAACCTCCTCTACCGCAGCAGAATACTCTCTGTACGCCGGCCATGGTAGTTCTTCTTTGTTCTTGTCAACATTTATATCCTTGGTAGCACTAGCACACTGCTGGCTCGTTGACGGTCGCGCTGGGTTCATAGAGTCCCTGGACATATTTCAGTTCGTACCCGGCATAGAGATCATACATACTAACTCTAGAGGAAAAGGTCCGCCATTTTCCCATACATTCTGGCTGCCGCAAGCGGCGGATCATGCAGGCAGACCTTCTGGGTCCCAAACACGGTTACATCATCAGAGCAGTTTCGTGAACTTCAACAATCCACGAACTTACCGGTGGAAAGGTATTCGCGTCCCTTTCGAAGCTTTCTTTTTGCATAGCGCGCAGATGTATGGCCTCGCGATAACGCTAAACTAAACCATATACCCGGCTTCGCCGGTGGGGCGCGGGTGGGCGCGGTTGAGGAATACAAAACTGCGCAACTACCAGATTTCCGAGATTTCGACAGAAGGGAAGTTAATGCAGCGTAATGACTTTGTTGCTTTTTATAAGCGTTAGAATAGCTCAGAACTTAGTTTACAACGTTAAATTATCACTATTTATATTGCTGAGAGTTTTCACTCTTCGCGTTTACCATGGCAACGTTGCTTTCTTTCTCTCGTGTTCTGTCACTCTCTTTCGCGATCGTTCACTCGGGACCCCGGGTGTCGGCGCACGGGATTTGCCACTCCTCCTTACCCACCTTTACCCCCCTGGTACTCGGCAAGCCAGAAACAAAGCCCGCGCAAACAGCAGTAAATTTTGCCTGGACTGTTGACACTACACCGGAGTAGTGGCGCAAATCAAAATACGAAACATGCGCAGTGCGGAGTGGTGGCGCTAATCAAAATACGAAACATTCGCAGTGCCCTCCGCCTGTATTGGAGATGCATGTTTGATTCACCCGATTAAAAAGCGTTTGCGCAGAAAAAGAAAAAAAACCGCAAAAGAGATAGTTCTTCAAGATACCAAGATATAAGTGTTCAGTCACAAAGTACAAGCGCGTGCTACTTTTTTTTTTCACCAAATCTGCACGTGGCTATATTCGGGTCGTGACTGGCGAGAAAGAACGTATCCACAAGTATGTGTAAAAAATAACTTGACACTCGAAATGTCAGAACAGACAATTTGGAAAGCGCAAAGAATGGCTAAACTGTACCCTCGTTCAGTGATGTATTATTCATAAAAAACTGGAAAGTAACGACAAAAGTAACGTCGTTACTTTCATCGTTACCTCAGAAAAAGTAATAGAACTACAGTTACAAGTTACATTTTCAAAAAGTAACTCGTTACAGTTACAAGTTACCAAAAAAGTAACGCCGCCTCGGTGGCTCCGAGGCGAGAGCGCCGGCCTACGGATCCCCAGGTGGCGGGTTCGAATCCCGACCGAGGTGCCCGCAATATGACGGAGGCTTATTGCGGAGAAGGCGCCGTGTAACCGAGCTTTCGGTTGCACGTCAAAAGATCCCCAGGTGGTCGAAATTAATCCTCAGTCCTCCGCTGGGGCGTGCCAGATGCCCGTCGTAGGTTTGGCACGTAAAACCCCAAATTTGACTTGACCAAAAAAGTAACGAAATTACAGTAACGCGTTACTAGTAACGCGTTACTACCCAAGACTGCTTCTAAGCATAGCTCCCTGTTGTTCAAACCCTCTGTGTTTTTACCACAATCGTCCAATCCTCCTTTTAAAAGCAAGAGGATTGCCGAGTCTGTCGTTACCTCTTCTCGTCCCTCGTTTATTTTCGTGCTCTTCCCCTTTCATGGAGGCATTGACCCGAAGTTTTACAGGGCCAGAGTTGAGTTTCCGAGTTTCATTGCAAGGACCGACAGCTAGCATAAATTTCCGAGGAAGCCCCTAACCCGTTAAAGTGAGCTGCAAGTAGTCAACTCCCGTTTTCTTAATTTCAGGGACACGTAGTACAGGTTCAAGTTCGGGATGGGGAAATATTCGAGGGAGTTTTCCGGACCCTGTCGCCCGAGGTGAGTGCCCAACATTGTGAATTCTGAAATATAATGAAGATTGTAAATAAGCTAGAAGAGACCTGATTGGCCTTAAGCAACTTGTATTCATAAACATATAGTGAAATTATAGAGCATCTAACTGGGGGCGCATGCTTACGCACAGCTGGAGATTGTGCTCGAGATGGCCCACCCCGTGGAAAGGGGCCTGTCCCCACTGGGGGGCCCCCTGTCACGGTTGCTGGCCTCACTGGGCAACAACCACCCGATGGCGGGGCTCATGATCTTCCGGCTGGGGGATGTGATGTCCCTGGTGGCGCCCAACGCGGACCTGGACTACGCCACCAGGGACTCGTTCACGGATACGGCCATCAGCAAGTTCAACGGGCAGCCGCTGGAGAAGCCCCTCGAGCCCTGGCTGGACGGGGGCCTGGAGGGGGACGCCCTCGTCCTTGACGACGTGGCCCCTGACGGAGACGACACGGTACGTGGGGAAGTCCGAGGGTCGGATTTAGGGGGTTTTAAGGGGCTTGCCGGAGACTGGCATCCGGTGTGCCCTAGCGGAAAACCGAGGATTAATATGGACTGTCCTGGGATCTTAAGACATGCAACAGTAATCTTGGTTGCGCGTTTGTCGGCGCAAGGAGCCCCCGTCTGTTTGCGGATGCCTCGGCCGGGTTTCGGATCCACCACAGGCAAAAACGGGGGGCGGGGACTCGCCACTAGTGCTTGGTGTACAACGCCGTCAAAGGTGGTGGCTCGAGCCTGCATCCCGATTTTGAGTTGGATTTGAATGCGCTCTCGTGCGATGAAGCTACATGCTCGAGTTGGTAGCTTTGACGACGTGGTACCTTTGTGGACAGTACGAGCTGAAACACTCGATTTGACCTTTCTCTGCATTTGTGGTACCCGCAAGCTCGATTGTCTCTTGGTTTGTCGGGTAGTCCGAAGCATGAGACCTCAGCTTCGCATTCCATTCCTAGTTTGGACCCACAATCTCTCAGGAACTGACAGGTTAGTGCAAAGAAGCACAAGGGACCGTTTCAGCTCGTATTGTCTCTGGCAGTACACCACGAGTGTAGAAGACGAGGGCTGCTCATTTTCTCTAATATTTTCAGCAGCGAAGTATGATACGCAGGTCGCAAGGTGACCTTTTCGAGCATTAATGAGGTGTATGTCTGTGGACGTCACATTGTTTGACTGCCTGTAGTGACTGAAGCAAAACTTTCCGATCGCCCCTTGTATGTCGCGCAACTTCTTTTAAAGGGAAACTCCGCTTCATTCTCGGTTGTTACCAAACACTGCGACTCTCTTTAGTGTCATCTAGAGAGACCGAATGTCAAATATTATAACGTAATACCGCTTAAAAGATCACTAAACCGGCCGACAAAAACTGAGACGCGCGAAGTCACCAAAATCCGCTAATTTAGCGGGCGACGTGCGGCGCAGCCAACGTTGTATTTCCGTTGTGGCTGACGTCTGTTGCATACGCAGTTTTTTTCTTGGTATTTTCTTTTCCAGGGAGAGCTTACCGGGCGGCGCTACGGACGCGCTCCACGTTTGAGCAAGCAAAGAGGCGAGCCTACTACAATAGAGATAAGTGGGCGAGACAGAAAAAAAAAAAAAAAAAAAAAAAAACGAGAACAAGAGAAACAAAAAGAGGAAGAGAGAGTTGTACGGGGATGAGTTTCGCTGACACACCGGCCAACCGGTGCCGACTAGCCGCCTGGGTTGCCGCCTACATAGCCTGCTTTGTTGCTGCTTGCGTTGCCTGTTCGCCGCCGCAACGCTAGGCCCGCCCTCCCTCTAAAGTCCCTCTCCCTCCTCCCTCCTCGCCCTTCCCCTCGCATCCGCGTCTTTCTTGGGTTACCGCTAGTAGATCACGTGACCCCTTGTCTTCCACGTGGGTGCGTATGCAACTGACGTTGAGAGTACAATGTTGCCCGGCTGTGCCGAAGTTTCAGTTTCGGTTTGCGATTGTGGTAAATAACAAGATCGCACGAAAAATATTTTGCTTTTAATGAGACAAACGGTCTAGGGTTGTTTTGAAGTACTTTTCACGTTTATATCACAGACTATCTCGAAATTTCCGAAATCAAGCGGAGTTGCCCTTTAAGTGGGGAAGCTGGTATTGAGCCTAAACTTTTTTATTTTTAGAGCTATATGAAATTTTCAGGGTACACTCATAGCACATACTGTATTTTCCGGACTATAAGTCGCACCCTTGTATAAGTCTCATTTCCGTATATTGAGCCGTTTTCACGGAAAAGTTGGTATATAAGTCGCGCCTCTTTGCACGGCTCACGTGATAAGTTTATTTGTTTTATGCGCATTGGTATCATGAAATGGGAGTTTCACGATATGATACTTTGACGTTTCGACTCACGAGAAATGCTCATAGCACGGCGCTGTCTGGCGGGGGCAGTTGAGCGTTTCGCACCAAAGGGGACGTAAAACACGCAAAATGAGAAGGCAGTCTGCTTTAGTTGAGCGTACAGATGCCGAGCGAACAAAAGTTTAGCATGCCAGACACTCGTGAACCAAGCTTTGGACCATTAGGCGTAGCCTAGGCCAAGTCTCGGAGACGACGCGAGCATCGATGCACAGGCAGATAGATAAAGCTTGGCACACTTCTTTGGGTACCGCTAAAAGATACTGCAATCCTTCCTTTTACATGTAGCAACCCGGCTGGAGCATGGCAGATAAAAACTGCTCATCAAACGGAAACGGGAACACCACCTATGGCTGCATTGTTACGGTGCTCTTTAAAAGGTGGTGCACGGCGCATAAAAATCATTGCGTCGCACTGTGAATTAAAAAAAAAAAAAAAGCGCATATAAATCATATTGCTGTATAAGACTCACCCAGAAAAATGTTTTAAATAGCCCTGACCTATACACCAGAAAATATGGTATATAAGAGTAATTGCCGAGTTTCATAAAGCTGTGCCCATGGGCCCTTCAGTTGCATATTTCTTTCAATATTGTTCACTTGCTTCCTCTATTCCAGGCCTGGAGAAATGGCAAAACATAGTGGGAATGTGAAATTTAATATAAGCATTCCTGGATAGGCACACAGGGCATCACTGAGCCCTTTTTATTATTTTTGTTTCAGGCATTTTTTTTTTGTGCAACATTGAATTTTATGTTGCTGATCATATCCTCATCCATCAAATTTAATTTGAGTATTATAAATTTTAACAAAACTTTCTAAAAAAACTAAGCTCTTTACGCCCTCACAAAATTAGTATTTAGGAACAGAATAAAAAATAAAACCCGTTTACAACTCCCTGTAATGCCGAATTAGAGCGCAGCTCTTAAGGAGGAGGGGAAGGTACGGAGAGAGGGCTATGCCCCTCCTCTCCTGCTCGCCCCCATTTAGGGGGAAATTTTTCACTAAATTTAGTGGGAAAAATTTTCTGCTAAATTTAGCGGAGAAAATTTTCTGCTAGGTTTAGAGGGGAGAACTTGCCGTTAAATTTGCTAAATTTACCCACCATGCACCGCGCAGTTACGCCAACGCCGCTCAAGCCGGAAATGGGCGCCTAAGAGCTGCGCTCTAAAAAAAGAAACTGCATGCAAATTCATTAAAATGTTTCCGAGATTTTGCTTGGATAAGTGCCAATGCCAGCGGAAAAATCCATTTTGAGAAAATGGCAGTTGATACTTGCACACACCTTTCCAGCATCGAGCCCGTTTCACGTGGCGCGATTCTGCTTGCAATATTCATTCTCTTGTGGCAAAGAGCTTGTAGACACAGTACCCATGCACATAAGTTTGTTTACGGCTTTTATTAATTCATTTTGTCTCGTGCAAGTAACGTGGCAATCGAAAATCACGAAAATTGCAAGCAGGATTGCGCCACGTGAAACGGCTTTACCTGCGGGGTAGCTGGTAGTGTTCTTGCATATTTTCTTTTTGTTCTGCCATTGTCTTCACTTAGTTTCAACGGCTAGCGACGCAATGAGCGTCGGCACCCCGCTGCGCAGACGCAGGCCGCCGATGCTGCTTCCAATGGTCGCCGTGCAAAGAAGCTTGCATAGACCACTCCAGTGTGCCGAATGTGCGCACCTTTTCCCCGATTCATTCGCCGCATGTCTTGCGGCCGGGAAACACGTGGGCAAAGTATGCGAAGCAACTGAAACAAAGGGCCGCAATCAATCGTAAAGGTGGTGAAAAGCAAAGTGGAGTTGACAAAGCGTAGGAACAAGCGACGAGACAAAGCATCTTGACTTGCCCCGGCTGCGTGGTAGCCATGGCAATGCAAGGAGAACAAACATCACAGCCACTAGTAGTCGCGCGCTCCCTTGTGTGGGTGCTTTGGCCAATCGCTGCTTCGCAGTCACGAAAGTCACTTCGCAGTCGCAGTCACGTCATAACTATGCTACGGACACTGTTTTGAAGGGCGGAAGAAAGAAAAGAAAAGAAAAACTCTGCTTCAAAACAGGACCAAGATGGCGACCGTTCACCAAGTTGAAAGAGAGCAGGAATTGCTCAGTCTGGCTCGATTTTGCGTCTTTAGCGCGATTTAAAAGCCGCCGGGACCTCGTAAATATTTTTTTTAAACATATTTTTTCAGTGAATTAGGTGCTGACATAGCCTCCTCTATACTGATAAAGCCTGGCAGATCGCTACGAAACGCGGCCACCACCAAAAGTGAAAAGGTAGAGCGGCAGACAGGAGGCATGTAACGTGCGCCCTGGTGTGGCGAGACGCCGAAACGCAGTTGTCCCGAGCGATGGAACGTCCACTCGTGCTTCTCGCGTTCCTCGGGCTACCGCTTCTTTTCTCGTTGGGTTATAAAACCACGTTTCGGGTCCTTGCTGCTGCAAAAGCTGTGCGCTGACTAAAGGCTCCCCGAGAAATGCTCTGTGCTACCAGATCCTCACACTCCAAATCTGCGACCGGGCACTCTATGGCTCCGTCATCGAACTGCCAGACTTCGTGGGTATAGAAGAGGCTGTTGTGCTGATAATTACAGTGGAGGTAGTTTGGAATATACAATCCAAAAAAGTAGTTTTCCAAAAATCTACTTTTTCACAATCTTTGTTTTCAATCCCCGCATGTGAAATTTAGCGTGTGTTGGGAGAATGTTTTTGCAGCTTGGGAACACTTTTATTTTACTTCCCTGTTCTCTCTTCTGCTCTTCCAGAACGGATGGGATGCAAATGAAATGTTCAAGACAAATGCGGAAAAGTATGGCGTTACGACGTCGTACGACAGCGCCCTGTCGGGATACACGTAAGCGTCTCTTGGTCTTTCCTCCTAGCCGTTCCTTTCTGCATTGTCACAGTGGTGGTGCTGACGGAGTGGCCGTTGTTCTTTTTGCAGGGTGAAGCTAGAGCCCAAGAACACGGACGAGTACAAGCTCCAGGAGGCCAAGGCGTGTAAGATTGCCCAGGAGATTGAGAACAACCCGGTGTTCAAGAAGCGCACGGACCTGGAGAACGGCGATGAAGAGGACAAGTTCAGCGCCGTGGTGCGGCCCTCCACTGACCCTTCACCCCCTGGTGCCAGGTAGGGGGCCCGCTTGCTTGCTCTCACCTGCTCTGAAATGAAACAGACTGGCTGAGCTATGGTAGAATCGGTTGGTTTTCGAATTGTCCATTGGGAGTACTCGTGGATTTGTACCATTGTGAAGGTGTGTCCAAAGGAAAACGGGGACCAAAGGAAGACATGTATGACAGACAAGTGCTCACTCATAGCTGAATTTCTTTTTTTTAATTTAACAATCAGTTTTGAGTAACTCCTCGTCTGTCATAGGTGTTTTCCTTTGGTTTCTCTTTTTTGTGCGCTCTGTTTTATAAGTAATCAGTACTAACTAGTGCCATTTTCAACACTTCTGCATGGATGTATAGTTGGTGGAACACAAAACATGCTGTCTAGCCTGGCAGGTGGTGGAAGGGTGCACTATGCAACCATGCCTGTCGTACAAATACGAGCGCACAAATCTTTTTCAGTGTAGTGCTTGTGTGAAAAAGTTCTACAAAACAACAAGTTTCAATGACTAGGGGACATAAATTTTTCTGGCAATCACCGAGATTTGATGTAGCATCTGAACTGTGCAAATCTCTGGTTTAGGGTTGCACCTTAGGTACACATTTCTGGTTCATAGCAGTTTCCTGCGTGGCTTTCGTAGTGTTGTGTCTAATGTCGCTTGGCAGATGACTAGAGAGTAAGGCTCTGCAAATTATGAATTGTTGAAGTGAACAGTAAGTGATTTTCGTAAATAATAGGGACGAATGGCAAATACAAGACGAGCCTGAAACTTCGAAGAATGAAAGGAGTGAAACACCTCCGGCTTACCTGCGGTGTTGGTTGTTGGTTCTATTGTAGTGGACCTCGCATCTTAACATGAGCGAAGGTATAAAAGTGTTAAAAATTCGTTGCTCGTAGTTTAAAGACATCATAAGAGGCTAAAATCGTGAGAGTGGAGAGAGGGAGCAGGGATGGAACTGCTGCGCCGTTGACCCTGGCTAATTTTTTGGCCCCATTTTTTTTTTTTTTTTTATAGAAAGGAAGCTACGCTTTGTTGTTTTTCAAGAAAAAACAGACCTGTGAAATACACCTTTGACAAAAAGTTTAAATTGCTTCATTCAGGCGTCGATTTTTACAATCCATTTTAGAATGAGCCTGGTGACCTCAGACACACTACCTTTTTGCAAGTCGGTTCCATCATGCATCATACTGTAGTACAAGTTTGCTTCATATGTTTTATGTAATTTTCATGTAATTTTGTGAAAAATGTTTTAAGTAAAATGTTCATTAAATCTACCGTTAAGTTCACATGGAGTTATCTGCATGCCATATTTCTTTGAGTTTTGAATGCCAGGTGACAAATGGCCTCAATTTTAATGTTTTTAAAACTTGTATGCTGCCTCCAACTTTTTTCAAGACCTTGTTTTCGCTGTTTGTAGTTTTTTCTGCTCCCAAGAATTCTCCAAAGCTGCTTTGCCCACTTTCATCCCTGAGTGAGAGACGACACGACGCAGAAGTCTCAAACACCACCGACATTTATTGCCAAAAGAGATTGGTTTCTTTTTACATTTTTCCAGATGAACCAATTTAAAGGACCTGTGCAAGGATTTTAACGTTAAAAGAATTGGCATCTTCTGCTTTTGATATTGTTCACCTTGTCACAAATGACAGAAAACACACCTCCTTTCATCAAAATGTTGCGATTCCGCTGCGTAATACCGAGGCAAAACTTAGAATATTTCCTGACCTGCAGCCATGAGCGGCGGCCATGAGAAACAAGCGGCGTGACGTCAGTGGGGAATCTTGTAGAAAGATACCAAGTTGTGCGAATACCTGCTCGATAAAAGGTACCTTTTCTATAAATCTTGTCGTTCCAACATATATATAAATGCGTCAAAACCCTGGTATCATCGACAAAACTTTTTTTATACGGATTTTAGTGGCGCCATCTATCCTAGGTCTACAAAACCGCGAATAGCTGCCAGGAGCCGGAGGGGGACAGCGCCGGACGGGTATGGCCGGACCCGGATGAGACTTTCCTCCTTTCACCGTATATTTCGCAAGGCGCCCGCCTGCACACGGTCGCGAGCGGATGAGTTCTTGCTGCTCGCTGATGGCTCTAAAGAGAGAACTTTTCCGGAACCCCGCGCCTATTCAAGTGACGTCACTGCGCATGTGACCCGGAAGACGATGTACGAGTACGATGTACAGCAAAAACCTGAATCTTTTTCATTTTTTTAAATAAAAACTAGGGTATCCAGGCAAAATCTGTTATCTGTAGTTCACTGCAGAAGTGTCAGGCATCAACTTCCACAATTATTTAACCAAAGCCCTCAAATTGTTGCACAGCTCCTTTAAACCTCGCCAACTCTCGTAAATACGTACACAGTTGGCGTCCAAAGCCTCCTAGTATCCCTGTAACTCCATTCTTTTCGAAGCGCTCGTCGAAATGCGCATTATTCGGTATTAATGCGAAAAAAAATTGGGCTACCGTAACATACAGAGTGAGGGCCCCACCCAACACTTGGATATAATTTTGGAAAAATTTGGAATGGGGTGCTGTTAGGTATGAGAGCAAAAGTGGGGATGGGGCATACGATGGGGGTAAACGTCACCCACTTTGCGTCGTGGTGTTGAAAGAAGTGAATGACTGAGGGGAGCACTTTGGTTAGCTAGGTGGGCACTTGATATTGCATGAGGCGGAAAAGGGCAAACGAATGTAAAACTGAAAATGTGCGTTTAACGGGGTGAACTTGCGCCTACAAACTAAAGAGGGAAGTACCATACATCTTGCGTTGGCAACGGAAGGACAACTGTAAGGGGACCAATTTGTATGGTTGCACGATTGACAGAAAAATCTCTCGGAAAATGCGAATCCCCCCTCCCCCTCCCCGCACTTAACAAGGACTTCTTGCTGTCGCAACAAATGGTTGCAATGATAGCGAAGCCCAGCTGTTTCTCGCTAGGATGAGCAGCGCGACATAAATGTAATGAAGTGGTCTTCATGTACATTTGTTGTCAATATTTCTTTTTAAAAAACCTCAACTTCCACCCCGCGCTTAGAAATTTTCCCAGATTTTGTTTCTCAGAAATTGGCAGGTATGCCATCCCGAAGCGGCAGTTACTGTTGCTTTTATACATGTGGTGCGTTCCCAAATGAACCAGAACACAAGATTACGGCTGAGAACGAGCTGTAACTTTCCAGAAAAGTACAGAACAATAAAGTAAGAAGATGTGCTGAGGGGAGTTTGGACTCTTCCTCTACATGGCGGCTGAGTGCATTGTCGACTCTGCCATGCACACAGACATACCATATTTACTCGCATAATGAACGCACTCTCGCATAATGAATGCACACCCCCCCCCCCCCCCCCCCCCCCCCCCCCAAAACGGGTACCAATATATTCAAACTTTATTTTTTCCCCTCGCGTAATGAATGCACTTCCAATTTTCGGTTCCGCGAGTCTCGACTTGCGTCCAATTTAGCTAGCTACCAAGCCAATTTTCCTTTGCTGCCAAGCGGTCAGCCAAGTGAAGCCAAGCCGAGCAGCTCTTGTAATGGCTGCAAGCATCCGCAAGTGCATTGTTGTGAAAGTGATCAACCGCGAAACAGAGCTGTCGCACACTTGACGAAGCTTGGGTCGAGGAATTGCCCAGCCCCGGACATTCTTCGCCTATCGGATGCATTGATGTCAGCAAACATGCCGTCATCTCTGGTCCGCTTTCGGACAGTGAGTAAAAGTGGTTAGGCCTAAGAACAGTCGCGTTGCTCTCCGTGCTGAGTGAGCTTCATAGGGCGCTGTTCCTTTGGCGGAAGGCACGCCGAAAGCGCCGGAAAAGGTTTGCAACTTTAAAAGCATGGTTACTGTGGTGCACCCCCGACGAGCCGTGAGTGCGCCTCCATCAGTGGAGACGTGCCACATTACCTTACCGTGTCATATTGGCAGCTAATATGACATTGGCATGAAGTGTCTTAATGCAAGAATTTTACCTCGCGTAATAAACCCCCCCCCCCCCCCCCCCCCCCCCCAAATATGTGTCAATTTTTCGGGGGAAAAAAGTGTGTTCCTTATGCGAGTAAATGCGGTATGTCTTCTGTTTAGTTTTTATACTTTTCAAAAGAGCCCAGAGAACCCATTGGTTCCCTGGGCTCTCGCATCTTCTTGACCGCCCCAGTTTTACATAGTGTTTTCCCTGTTTAAGGGGGTGTGGTGGGTTAAATGGGTCATCTTGGTTTTAATTTTGTATCTCGAAAACTACCTCACCTTTTATTGTGGAATTTTATGTTTTTAATGGTTACACCCTGGGGATCTACTTTGTGTTGCTTTTTTTTATTGAAGACCTTTTTTTTATATTTTAGTAACAGTGTCAAATCTTAGGCTGAGTTCCAGTTTTTAAGCCCTTAGCCATTTTCGACGAGCCTAGCTCGTCCACCTAGAGCTGTCCCCGAACCGTTTAGGACGAGTGTAGCTCGTCCGTGCGCCCTGCCTTACATTACCCCTTGGCTGTTTTTTGGACGATCCAGGCTTGTTCAGAGCTTAGTTTGCGGCACTGCTCAGAGATAGCAACATCTGTTTTTTATTGTACACGTTTTTAAGGCTGGCGACCGATTCTGGAGACACGTGCAACATGGGCCGCACATACAATAAAGAAGAACAAAAGTTTAGGATAAATAATTCTGCGAAAAGAAACGGTTAAAGGAGCTGTGCAACAATTTCAGTGCTCTGCTTAAATAATTTGGGAGTTGGTGTCTCAACCTTTCTGAAGTAAAGTACATAAAAACCGCTTTTGCCTTCATGTTTTAGTTTTTATTTTAAAAATGGACAAAGATAGAGGTTTTTGGCGCCTCTCAACTCCTTCAACATCTTCCGAGTCACTTGCGCTGTGACGTCAATGGGGGACGCGCGGGGTTCCGGTGAGGCTCTCTCTAGAGCCATGAGTGAGCAGCGAGAATTCACTTGCTCGCGACCACTTGCTAGCGCAGCGCAATCAACATGGCGAAAGGAGGAACGTCTCATCTGGGTCTGGCCATCACCGTCCGGCTCGTCCCCTTCCGGCTTCTGGCGGCTGTTCGCAGGAGCAGATAGAGCTGACTGTACTGTTTTGTTGACATTGGATACATGGCGCCACTAAAACTTTAGTCGATGATGTCAGGTTTTTGACGCAATTATATTTAGGTTGGAACGACAAGATTATAGAAAAAGCTAGGGATGCCGCGAACTTTTTTCGAATCGAAGTTTCGATGATCGAATCAAGCGGTTCGAAAGGTTCGAAAGATTTCGATTTTTCGAATTGTCGATATCGTAAAATTCGACGGACGTCGAATTTTCGAACTTGTTAAGCTAAGAAGTTCGACGCTTTTCGAACCGTCGAACTTATTACGCTAAAAAATTCGATCTTTTTCGAACTTTCGAACTTATTGTGCTGCAAGGTTCGATGCTTGTCGAACTTTCGAACTTGACAGACCAAAAAATTCGATGAATTTCGAACTTTCAAACTTATTTATCAAGAGAATTCGAAAAGTTTCGAACTTTCGGATTCTGAAAAGTCAGAAGTTCGACGAACTTCGAACTTTTAAGGTAAAAGTTCGAAGTTCGTCGAACTTCGAAAGACCGGCGGACGGTTTCATTTGATTTCAAGTAGTGGGGTACATTCGTAATTTTTTTTTCTCGAACTTTTACATGCGGTGCTGCGTTCCTTACGAAAGACAATGTCGTTTATTTCAATGTTCTGGCATGCTTAGGTTTAAAGAAATAAATCCCCGAAGGGGCGAGGAAGGACGACGGGTTTTTGACGATTATCGTTTGTGCCAGATTTGAAGCACGCTGCAGCCGGAGCTATTTATGGTAGATATGTTATACTTTTTTTTAAGAATGATCTATGTATAGCCTAGGTAAGTGCGTCTTAAGATGTGATTATTGTTATTCAACGTGAGTTTCGAAGAAATGTCCAAACATGTATCTGCATGCAATTATAACCTAAACTTGATATTTATTTTCGTCTAAGTTGTTTGAGGTATCGCATTTAAATTAACACCACAGACAGTACATATCATTGCCATCTGCAGAATACGAAATAATATATTTATTGTTTTTTCACGTTAAGGAATAAATTAACTCATGGGAGAAGATTTCTAATAGTGTTCAAGTTCAGCACGTCATTAAAAGAAAACTTTTTTTTTTTTTTTTTTTCGCTTTACGTTCCTGGGACGTGTTTCTTTTAGCCTGTACACATTTTGGTAAAAGAAACTTGTTTCGAAGTTCTGAACCTCTGAATATGCAAGAATAGAACACTTCCGACGAATTCTTGATAGTTTTTTTTTTTTCTCCTGCTTTTTATTCCCGCATTTATTCTTTTTTTTTTTTTTTTTTTTTACTATTGGCACAGGTGTTTAGGTCGAAAAGACAGCTTTGGACTTCCGAACCACTAAGCATGTGACGAGCAGTGCCTTCTGACAACGAGTTTCTAACAATGACCATCTACGCAACCTTTTATGCAGTGAAGAGCGACAGTAGCTATACATATGCATAAATAATTTCAGATTAAAATAGGCTCGACCACGCCCTCTTTTCCCGTATTGTTTTCTTTAACAGTTCGAAATACCTGCAAGGGGGAGAAAAAAGCTGAAGCCCCCCCCCCCCCCCCCCCCCCCCCGTTTTTCCTCTTCCGACGCCACTTCCGACGCCTCGACCTCGAGTTGTGTCGGCTTTTGTGCTTTTTGCGAGGCGATTCCTCCGTCCCAGAAAATAAACCTCCAGGACAATTACAAACTTCACCGGATCGGATTACTACCAGCGTGCAAGGGGTGGCGAGGTAGTTTGCCAGGTCGCTTCAAGGTTTTTCTGAGCCTCAACCTCCTGCTCGCCCCTGGCCGTTTCGAACTGGATGAGTCTCGTAAAACAGTGTGTTCGTGCAATCACTACTGCGTAATGCAAATTAAAGAACCCCCCCCCCCCCCCCCCCGGGGCTGGCGGTCACAATTCTGCACTGGCAAATATTCTAGCACGTCCGGGACACTCGTCGTCTCATTTAATTGCCTGACCAACTTCGCAGAATCTAGATATCACACCCTAACTTTTCTAAACTTGATTTCGTGAAAACCAGTGAGTCGTGAAAACGTTATTTGAAACTGAAACTGTGGAAAAACTTGAAAATCGGACTTCGAACTTTGAAAACTTGGATTAGAAAGAAATTCAAAATCTTCGAAGTTTTTTTTTTTTTTTTTTTTTGATTTAGCGTTAAAAGAGAATCGAAACCTTCGAACTTTTCGAACTTTATGCAAAAAGAAATTCGAAATCTTCGAATTGTTCGAACTTCATGTCTATAAAAATTCGAAGCGTTCGAAGTTTTCGAATTTTTTTTACAAAGAATTTTGAGATCTTCGAATTTATCGAACCTGAAGTAAAAAAATATTCGAAATATTCGAATTCGAAATTTTGGAAACCGTGAAAGCTTCGAAATTTTCGAATTCGAAACTCCGCTGTGGTCAAAAGTTGCGAATTTTTCGAAATCGAACCTCGGTCAGTACGAAAATATCGAAATTTTTCGAAATCGAACCTTAGTTCACTTCGCAAATATCGAAACCTTTCGAAATCGAACCTAGGGTGGTTCGCGACATCCCTAGAAAAAGCACCTTTTATCGAGCAGTTATTTGCACAACTTCTTATCTTTTTACAAGTCCCCCATTGACGTCATGCCGCGTAGATCTCATGGCCGCCGCTCGCAGCTGCAGGTGTGCAAATATTCCAATTTTTCCCTCGTGATTATGTGGCGGAATTGCAACATTTCGAAGGAAGGAGATGTGTTTTCTGTCGTTTGTGACAAGATGATGTCAAAAGTAGAAGATGCAAATTTTTTCAAGGTTAAAATCGTTGCACAGCTCCTTCAAGGTGTTTATGTATCTTCTCCCAGCAACAAAAGATGCGATGCCCATTTAATTTGGCACATACCTTCCACATGTTACTGGCTTTAAACTCAACGTAAGATGAACAAGTTGGAACATGCAGCATGGAAGAGAAAAAATATTGTTCTTGTCATGAGCCAGAAGATGGGAGCTTTTTTATTTTAATTCTTTTTACCATTTTAATGTCGTGAAATCTAAACTTTTAGGTTCAAGCTGTTGGCAACGTATTTTGCTATAAGCGGTAAAAGTTTGTGTAATCGGATAAGTAGTTTCTAGTGAACGTGCAGTGGTCAGCAAACTTATACGGAACATGCAAACTGCAAACTATTTCATGAAAGAGCTCTCTTGTCACGCTTGATCAAATTTTATTTCCTGCACCCGACGAGAGGCTGTTTCAACCTTGTCCTGAGCAGCCACAAAGCTTGACCAGGCCGGCCAGGATAGTGCTCCCTCGTAATAATACACAGTTCCCTTGTTTTGTACAAGTTAGGTGATCACTGCACGTCAGAGTTCCGAATATTGTAAAAATGTAATTTTGAAAAACAAAAAACAAAAAAAACAACTCCATTTTATGTCTTCACATTTGTCACGAAGGTTCAAAAGTCTCCGGCAGAGTACATCTCTTTCCTTGCTTTCTTCTTATGCTCCCCAAAGCCTTTTTTCGTGATCCTCCTCCTTCAGTGTCATTCCTTACTTTCCCCATGTAGGGGGTGTGGATTTTGACGCCACATTTAACTGGCTTGGAGTGCTTGTTGGTGCTTGCCGCTCTCTGATTTTGTTCCTCGGACTACATATAATTTTTTGACACGAAATCTGCAAATTAGATTTTTTGGTTGGTTCACCCTACCATCCCCCCCCCCCCCCCCCCCCCCCCTTGAGAAATATTTGACCATCTCCGAGCCATCTGTTGACTCGTAACTATGTGTCAAACGCTCCCTGGTGTGTTCAATATTGATTTACAAGTTCTGCAGTCCTCTGCACTGCTTGGTTGTGCAGAGATGACGCTCCTTCGGTCACCATTCTGGTCAGATGGGGGTTCCTCAATATTCGTACGAGCGTGCGGGGAAGTTGAGGAAGCCTAAGAAGTGTGTCCCTGACAGGGAGCCCTCCACCCCGTGTGTGCAGGTATGTGCGTCGGAAGCCCCTGGGCGGCCCCAAGCCCCTGCGGGGCACGCCTCCCCCTCCGGGCGGGGGCCTGCCCCGGGGGGGCCTGCCGTCGTTCAAGGGGGGCCCCCCGCTGGGCAGCCCGTCTCCGGCCAAGACGGCGCCCCACCCCAAGCACGGGCCCCCCGCGGCCTCCCAGGCACCTCCCGGGACGCACCCCTTCCCGGACCTGGACCCAGCCTCCTCCCCGAGGGTCAACGGAGGTGGGTCTCTCTCTTCCCCGGGCTGCCGGCCGAACGCTGACCCACCAGTGGGCTCGTCCGATGTCCCGAGAGACGGACGGAATGGTACGGCTAGATCGACTCAGAAGCGTCCCAATTGTGCGTGTGCCCTTTTTTTTTTTTCTTTTTTTTTATTTTTATTATTTTTTGTTTGGAGTTGGTTTGTAAAGGAGAGTGGGAAGGAATGGGACAGTTTTGTATAGTTTAATGGGCGCATAGGAACAAGTTTAGTGGTCCTAAATGTCGGCGGGCCAGTGTGCTGTGTCTGTGGCACAGGTTTGGTCCCGCAGTCATCAACCCACGGAAGCCCTAGACGTCTACGCCTACGACCTTGTGGACCTCTTTGGACAGGCTTATCCAAAGGTGTCACTACGGGTGGGCAACCCAATGATACGGGACCAGTTCATTGTGGGTCTCCAATCCAAGCTGCGTGACAAAGTCCTCGCCACTGACCCTGCAACATTTGAGAAAGATCTTGAGATAGCCTCAAGGCTAACATTCATTGGGCAACTACTGTCTGCGACTACGGGGACACTAATACCGTGCGCCGCCGTGGGTGGCACTTCAGAAGCCACTACACGACCCACGGGCGATCCCATTGCGGCGTTGACCAGCAGCGTGGCTGACCTTTGCGCCACAATGAACAGTTTCATTGAGTCGCAGAGTTATTCCAGGAGCACGGCCAAAGCTTTTACCGCGGAAACACTCCTAGGAGGCGACCACAATGTTTTCAGTGTGGTGGCACTGGCCACCTCGCAAGATCGTGTGCAAACTCTGACCAGTTTGCGCCACTGCGAAGTGACAACCCTACATTTGTAAAACGTGAAAATCGGGGAATTCTTCCGCACCCCCAAGTAACAGTGAAGGGGAAAGTGGGCGGAATTTTCATGAACATGCTTGTTGACTCCGGGTCGTCAGTGACCATTTTATGAGGCAACAAGTGGCTTGAGCTCTCGCGCGGCAACCCTGACCTTGAGTTCACTCACCGAGAGGGAGTCATTGGCCTTAACGGCGCCGTCTTCGAAGTTTGGGGAACATGCAGCTTAAACATTGAGGTTGCAGATCTCTCGGTGAGCCATCCTGTCATTGTTATTCCCGGCATCCTACATGAGTTCGTCCTGGGACTGGACTTTTTAATAAAATACCAATTCCGGGTTGACTTCAGCGAGAGAAAACTCAAATGACAAGTAGAAAGCCCATGTGCCCAGACCCAAAGAGTTCAGCTTTCTGTCACGTCGGTCCTGCCACCGAGGACCGCAACCATCGTTCTCGGGACCATTTCACCGAATACGGCAGAGTTCGGTACTGGGCTTCTCGAACCTCACCTGCATCTTATCGTGAAAAAGAATACTGAAGTCACCTAGAGCGTGTTGGCAGTGTCCGATATGCTACCAGTATGTGTCATTAACCATCCCAAAGAGCCGGTCACCTTATTCAAGGGTACAAGTCTCGGAACCCTGCACGCTTTTGAACACCCTGAAGGCAAGTACTCCGCTGCTCCACTTGACGAGAGGCACGTGCAGGCGGCACGAGACAGCGTCTGCTCTGCGACGAAAAGAGAGAAATGGACACTTGCCTCGTTGTAGGATAAGCTTGCCACATCACAACACCTCCAGGGTGATCAACAGAAACTCGTCAAAGGTACGCTCCTTGACTTCGAGGATATAATTTCTCAAGGTGATTGGGACTTGGTGAGAACGTCAGGTCTGACGCATTCGATCGACACTGGTGCAGCAGGCCCAATCAAAGAAACCCCACGCCGCTTACCTCCAAACCGCCGCGAGGTTGTGGCCACGAAAACGCATGAAATGCTGGACACGGGAGTAATTCGTCCTTCTAACAGCCCATGGGCTGTGCCGGTCTTTCTAGTGAAAAATAAGGACGGAAGCTTGCACTTCTGCGTAGATTACCGTCGGCTGAATGAGGTCGCACAAGGATGCATATCCACTGTTTAGGGGCAACGACACTGTCGAAGCCCTGAACGGGTGCTAAATATTTCAGCACCACCAATCTGGCGTCAGGATATTGGCAGGTGAAGATGTCGACGGGGTCTCGAGAGAAAACAGCGTTTGCCACACATCAAGGACTTTTCGAATTTAATGTCCTTCCATTTGAGCAGTGCAACGCTCCTGCGACGTTTCAACGCTTGATGCAAATGATCGTGGGAAAATTTGACTTCTGTCTCTGCTATCTCGACGATCTTATCATCTTCAGCAAAACGGAAGCCGAACACGTCATGCACCTTCGACAACTTCTGAAGGCGTTGAGAGATGCAGGTCTCAAGCTGCAACTTTCAAAGTGTCGCTTCTTCAGCAACAGCGTTTTGTACTTGGGCCACACAATTTCGGCTACGGGAATCGGAGCCGACGAGACGAAAACAGAAAAGGTCTTGAAGCGGCCACAGCTTTTAAGCGTCGAGGATCTTCGCTTGTTCTTAGGAATTGCCTCATACTACCGGAAATTTGTTGCAAACTTTGCCGGCATCGCGGCCCCACTTCACAAATTGTTGCAGAAGCAAGTTCAATTCGTGTGGACACAACAGTGCCAAGACTCCTTCAAAGAGCTCAAACAGTGCCTCACGAACTCTCCAGTTCTGGCGTTTCCAAATTTCAACCTACCCTATTCGCTACTCCAGCGAACTATAGGGGGCGCCACCACCAAACAAACATGGCGGCTGGGTCCAGGTTGCGTCGGCTCGGCCGGGCCGCCTGAATGGGTGGCGCATTCAATTTAACAAATTTTCTTTTGTTTAATGCCTAATTTTATGGGTATTTGAACTGAGACGGTTAAGTGTAGCCGGTGCGCATAAACTTGCCGAGCATAGTTTTGTTTTCCCGGTGTTTTTCGTTATTTTCATGTCAAACTTTTGTTTCGGAGACTTCGTTCAAAACCGAAACTTTGGGCTTCGGAGAAGCGGTAATAGACTCTAATTAGTTTTGATCATCTAAGGTAAGCGGCGATGGCTACAAAATTGTTCCACCGAGAGTAATTTTTGGCTAACTCGCATGCCTCGACCAGGCGACTTATCTGTCCACGAAATAGAGCTTTTGTGCTTGTCCGCGTTTCAAGAAACAGCTCCAGTCGCGTGCTCGGTCAAGAACACAGGCTGCAGGAAAATTACGAAAATTAAGCAAGCGCTTCTTGAGCCAAGGGGCATTTAACCCGCTGGTGCTTCACTAAGCAGCTGATACTCGTATTTAAATTCAGGTTTTAGTAGCCATCGATAAGTCATTTTGACGAATATGCGGATTATGTATTATATTACGTACTATGGCCCCACTAAAGCGATATTAGTATATTCTTCGGGTTGAAATATTAACTTAGTTGACTAACTATTAGGTGAACTGCTGAATAAAAGTATATTTGACAGACAGAGAGATACTACTTAAACTTAGCCAAATGGTTCTAGCCGGTAGAACGGAGACGAATGTGGACAAACTGAGGAGAGTCTTCATCGGAGATTCGCTCAGACCTCTCTGCAATGAACTTGACTTCGAATCCTGAACGGATAAAATGAGTATCTTTTGTGGCCGGTCAACCTGAGCAATGTAGACGTATATTGCTGCTGGCTTTGACGGGGGTTATAACATAAATATTGGAGGGGCGATAGATCATAATGCCGTGACAGCTTCTAACTTTACGAGACGCGTCCTCCATCTTTTGAAAGCAGATAATTTCTCTCATTAATCATATGCAGCGAGCAGGTTTTCTGAATCAAGTAATTGCGAAATCAGCCCAACTCCTTCAGTGTGGTCTTTTCCGGCGAAAAGCAGCCAAGATGAATAGCCAACGCACCGGCCGGCGTTAGTGGCTCAAACTTGAAGCTAATCGAGCACAACCAAACTCAAGAAAAGCAGCTATCGAATCTTCCCATTCACTTGACTGCAACATTGGTGTTCCCTCCAGTGAAACACCTCATCTGTTGTCCTCAGTCAACTGCTCTACATCCTTATAAAGAAACCAATTATCAGTTACCAAGTAGTTGTTACTTTGAATGTGATTAGAGACACACAAGAAATCAAAATCTTTTTCCGTGATTCCTCCCCACCCGAGAAATCGAAAGCATGCAACCGTGTGTTGTGGAGTAAACGGGATTTCAAACACGTGATGGAAAGAAACAATCTACTGGGGCTTCACCACACTAAAGAACACTGAGGCAAACTTAAGAAATTTTCGGACCTTCGTCAAATTACATTGCTCGCCCCCGCGCCGACAGCACGTGTCCGCGAGAGCCACCAGAGACGCGGCGGGGCGTGGAGCGACCTGGACAGACTGGTTCCCGGTTTTTCCGCTTGGCGGCGTCTGTTTTGCTGGAGTCGCGAATATCCTCGACACGGACGCAACCGAAAATGGTATCGGCGCGGTACTATCCCAAGTACAGGATAGGAACGAAAGGGTAATCGCCTACGACAGTCGTACCCTCACAAAGCCTGAACGCTGCTACAGTGTGACCGGGAAAAAAATGCTAGCCCTGGTTTATTTCGTCCGTTACTTTAGGCGCTACCTGCTTGTACGGCGATTCACCTGCAGGACGGATCACAGCGCGCTTCAATGGCTACACAGCTTCAAAGAACCGGAAGGCCAGGTCGCCCGCTAAATTAACCAACTCAGCGAGTATGACTTCATCGTTTCGCATCGGCCGGGAAGGCAACATGGTAATGCAGATTCACTGTCCCGACGGCCTTCCCCGACGAATGAAGGCCAACATGTCGCGCTCATGACAGTTGCACAGTCCTCCTTCACCATGACAGACCTTCAAGAAGAACGACGACGTGACCTGCAGCTTTCGCCCATCATCGACGCCCTGCTTGCAGGCATGCCGGCAGGAGTGATTTGTCGATGCAGCGTGGGAGTGCTCTTCCGCAACCGGCAGAAGCTAAGGCTCATCGACAGCTGCCTCGTGTGGGCAAAAACACCAGAGTTAACCCCCGTTCCCGTGATCCCCGAGACATGGATACCGCGGGCCCTAGACTCTGTTCATGATGCATCGGGGGGCGGGCATCTTAGGCGCGCCAAGACACTAAAGAAGGCCGCAGAAAGGTTTTTCTGGATTCGAATGGCACCATGTCTAGCCGACTGGTGCTCCAGATGTGTTAAGTGCTCCGCTCGTAAGGCACCAAACCCCAGACCACGAGCACCACTGATTCAGGAAGCGACCACCTTCCCTTCTAAGCGCGTGGCTATTGACATCACTGGTCCGTTTGCAATGACGGAAAGAGGCCACAAGTACATCTTGGTGGTGAGCGACTATTTTACTCGATGGGTTGAAACGTTCCCTCTGAAGATTCAAGAAAGCAAGGAGGTCGCCAATAGCCTCGTCCACAACTTCTTCAGTCACTATGGGATACCGTAAGCATTACACTCTGACCAAAGCAGAACTTTCGAGAGCAACGTCTTTCAAGCAATGTGCTCAATTTTGGGCATCCGAAAGACAAGGACCTCCCCTTATCACCCCCAGTCGGACGGATTGGTCGAGTGATTCAATCGCACGCTGATGAACAGCTTGAGTGCGTACGTCAATGACATACAGACTTACTGCAACATCAAGCTCCCTCTCGTCATGATGTCCTATCGCTCGAGCGTGCATGAATCGACTGGTTAGAGTCCTCATTATCTGCTCTTCGGTAGAAACATGAATATCCCAGCTGACATGCTGCTCGACATGCACGTCCATACTAACATGGCGTCGACGTACGGTTATGAACATTACAAAAGGCTCGCAACTACGCAATCATGAACGACATAAAAGCAAAGGATGCACAGAAGCGCCACTACGACAGCACAACCAGCGAAGAAGACTACGAACCTGGCAACAGAGTTCTACATTCTCCTGCTGTGCCGCGAGGACAGTCCTCGAAGTTATATTTGCCATGGTTTGGTCCATATGCAGTCCTCAAGAATCTACCTAACGTGTACAGAATCCAGAAAGAAACAGGAAAAAAGGAAGCGGCGGGTTGTACGCCACAACCGTTTGAAGCGGGTAGCCGATAGGAGGAGCCACTCTTATTGCCTCTTAGGACGTTATCACACGTCACGGATAACGACCTGCCTTTCCCTGCACCAGCGCTCAAAGACTTCCCCGATATAATCATCACAGAAAACAAAAATAATGACCAGACTCCTACTCGCCCAGCAGCCCCCCACTACCCAGACATAATAGACATTGAAGGTGATGATCTGTACATCGATGCGGTCGAAAGTCTACCACCGGTACAAGCAGCCGAGGATCCAAACCTGGTCGACGCTCTTGAGAACCCACTGCTGTTAGACATCTTCGACAACAAGCTTCACGTTGACGACCAAGTAAGGGAAAACGGGGACCAGGGCACTGAAGGAGGCCAGCACAATACGCCACCAGCGAACGGTGCCGAACTCCTGGACGACGATCAACTTCCAGTCGTTGTTTTGCCCCCTGATGACGTCACTCCAATGGACTTGCCTGTAGACGTGCCACAGCAGGCAGAGCCAGAAGAGCGATACGTCCTTCGGCCATGAGAAACATTGAGTCGGTTCGCGCGGTATCGCGATTGAGTGCCCTTAGCGTAAGAAGCCTTGTGCCGGGACGGTAACCTCCTCGTAAAGGGGGATAGTGTGATGATGGCTGGTATCGCCACCGCGAAGAAGCAGCACACTCTGGGAGCGCGTGCCAGGGGAACGTGGATTGAGATAAAATGGGTAGCCTAAGACCGAACGCCGTCGCTTCTTGGCCATCACGTTACACCTTTAACAACTTGTAAACCAGACTGCCATGTGCATTTCTTTTTTTCCCTATACATTTTAAATTTTTATGTAGCAGTCGGGCAACATGAACTTCATTGAATTTTGATATAAGTTTGAAGGTTTGATAAAAGTTTGCGATGTCCCTAGTTTGTATAGTTTGTGTTCCTGGTATGACCCTTCCACTGTCCCAGCGGCCGCCGACCTATGAAAGCTGTACATTGACACACGGTCATGTGGCTGTGCCCGTTCCGACTTCTCTTGAATTTCGGGCCTTTGACCCATACCCTGTCTGAAACTCTGTTCCAACTCCGTGCCTTGCAGCGCCCAAGCTGGACAAGGAGCAGGTGGCCCTGCCGGACGGGCCCCCGTGCGGCCCGGAGGAGCCCGTCCTGTCCCCCGTGGACCACCCCGGGGACAAGGGGGCAGAGCGCAAGGGGGGCCCGCCGCAGAAGGGGCGCGACCAGGAGATAGAGGAGTTCAAGAAGTTCAGCACAAGCATCAAGCTGGACGACGGCTCCACCCGGGAGGTCAGGGAGGCCGAGCAGGAGGGGGAGCCCCGGAGCAAGGAGCTGGACGAGGCGGCCACTGCCAAGGAGGAGGCCGACCAGTTGGTCCGCAGGTCCACCCTCAACCCAAATGCCAAGGAATTCGTGCTCAACCCCAATGCCAAGGCATTCACCCCGGTAAGTCATCCTTTCTCTCTTTTTCTGTGCCCCAAAATCGGTGGTTCTCAACCACGGATGGTTTGGGGGCCCCTTATGAAATGGCCGAAGTGGTGGGGGATTCCACCCTCCAGGGAAGGGGGGTTGTTAGATGATTGTGGCAATTAAGGACCCCCATTTGAGAACCGCTTTTCCAAATCAGATCGTCCCTTGTATCGTTATTGCCACTGACAGGATGAGAACAGCAAGGAATTGTTCCAGTTGTCTCGCCTCCAGTGCGAACTCTCTTCCTCTAATGCTTGGTCATGCATCTCGTGGGCCTCAAGCGTGCACGTGCAGCCAATACATGGTGGAAGGCAATGAGCGCGTGCTGGAGGCATTCTCGTTCTGTAGGTGACTGTAGTTCTTTCGACAGCTGTCCTTTTACCGCTAAAGAAATGCCGACCACGTTGCATCGAAGCTAACCGCACTTCGCGTTGAGGTTTAATCTCTGTGGTAGGTGCAGCTTGTGTGCTCGTAGGCCTTCAGTTTGGGTGGTGGAAAGCAGCCCTTTTATGCGGTCATTAGGGGAGCAGCATTCGACCATGGTCCTTAGATTACCTTGACCAGAATTATTATGTCGTGCCGTGTGAAAGTTTCCCCTGGGGACAGACTGAAGCACCAGGGGTGCAGTGCCTACGTTAGGAGGGAACCAGTCTGACTGCTCGGAGAACCTGACGGATGGATGTGGCTTTGGAGAAGCAGCCGCAAAGAAAACACCGGATGCGTCTGCTTTTTTTTTTTTATGAAACCCTACGAATTTGTTGAAAAGATGAACGATTGGAAAAGCCATTTGTACTGAAGACCTAGGGGCCATATTCCAGAATACAGTCCAAGCTCGTTACAACAGACCCGGTTACAACAGACATTTGGATATAACATACCGATTTGTGAAGTTCGGTTGGTTTTCCTCTATGTACCATTGACTGAACTTCATATCTGCATACAACATACTCCTTTTACAACGGACCGAAATCTTGGTCAAAATCAAGGTCTGTTTTATTGAGATTCGACTGTAATTGGCATGCCACGTTAAGGGCTATACCTGCTTTAAACGAGTGCCTAAAATTATTTTAGGTTCCAATTTATTTTTTTTACTTTTATTTTTACATTCATTAGTGCCACTTGCGATGACAAAATTTACTAGGACGGAAACTGTCGAAGTTTAAGTTTATTTAAGGACAGTGGTTTGACTCTTAGAAAAAGTTTCTAATCGACCCTCCTTTTGCGTTTCAGCGTACCCTGCTGCCCCTGACGAGCCCCCCGGGGGTGCGGCTGGGCCAGAGTTCGAGCCCGCTGGTGTCCCATGGCCAGGGGATGGGCCCCATGCAGCAGGGGGGCCCTCCCCCCCAGCAGCTGGTGCCTGGGCAGCACATCATCACCATGGGCCCCCAGTACCTGATGCCGGCCACCCCGGTCAGCGTGGCACAGTTCGCACCGAGTCAAGGCCCACGCTTCCGCAAGGGTGAGCTTTGGGAGGGACGTTTTAAGGGGGGACACTACCCGGAGAAAAAAAGATTCTTCAAAAAACATTGATTTTGAAAAATTAGATATTTACATCCATCTACACCCAGAGAGTATTCCCAGAAATTTTCACTAGTTTACACTGCATAGTTAATTTTTTATAAATTATTTTCTGTCCACCAAAGCTGCAGGAAAGGTAGGGTTTGAAGCACTTTGAACACATTTTTCTCCATTCCACTTTTTTGTATAAATTCCATTTGAGTCAATCTATCGTATGAGAATGAAAATACAGGCAAGGCTCATTCTTCACTTTTCCTGACTGAAATTTAATAAGGAATGCGCCTATGGAGTTTGTTTGTCACTTTATGGATGTCTTTTATAAAAAATATTGACATTTTGTCGGAGACACAGAAGACCAAAAAGTTGACCAATTTCGCAGAAGAGAAAATTGATAGAAATCAATTACTTTTTACAAAAACCTTTCCATAGGCGCACCCTTTAGGCATTCTGATACATACCTAGCGAATAAAGATCTTTAATATTGTGATAGTTTTCTGACGATAGATTAACTAAACAGTGTAGGGGTGTTGCTGATAGAAGCTGCCCCAATTTCCTTCCCAATTATCCGACAGACCTAAAATTTTGTTATGCACCCTCTAGCATGACCACCAGCCTACCCTGTAAATTTTATTAATTTTAAGCCAAGGGTTCAAAAATTGACCCTCCCAGGGTGTGTCTCCCCTTAAAGCAATAGATTTGTGTGACGGCCCTGCATGAACCTTGCTTTCTTGCATTGGTGTCTGTTGCACTGTAGCAAGGCTATCGGTGAGAGTTTCTTCAATGGAGTGTAGCTGCCGGTTTGATGTCGTAGCACATACAACCAATGGCATAGCTTCGTGCTAAGTGGAAGGGGGGGGGGGGTTCAATGACTTGCTGCGTAGGAAGGGGGGCTGCAGAGTAAGGTAAGAACTGCCTACCACTGCCTTCGTTGCATGTGATGGAATGTCTAAGCAAGGCATGTTTACAGCGAAGCTGTCTATGGCTAGGTTTTGGCAGATTGTCTCCGGGGTCAGACCAAGTGTAGACCAACCATTCTGTACAGTTAATGCTGCAGACGCCAGGGCCATACGCGCGCGCCTTCCCGGTATAAAAGATTTGAAGTAAATAACCAAAATATAGTGTTGACAAATGCGTGTGCAAGAGTCCATTTGTTTTGGGTTTTTGCTTTAGAACAGTTACTGCTGCAGACGCCGGCGCCGCACGCGCGTGCCTTCCCCGTATAAAAGATTCGAAGTAAATAACCAAAATAAAGCGTTGACAAACGTGCATGCAAGATACCATTTGTTTTAGGCTTTTACTTTAGAACAGCTACTGCTGCAGATGCGGCGCTACACGCGCGTGCCTTCCCCACGCAAGGCGTCTCTCTCCCCCCCGACATTGCGACGTCGCGCAATGCCGGACGCTCTTCAGCGGCCGCCTTCCGAAGATCGCGCCACTGTCCTTATCAGTTGGACTTCAGACTTCCCATGGATCACACCCGTGTTGTGCGTTCTGAAGAGGACAAGTGGAAGTACGAGAACCGTCGGCATGCCCAGAAGCGAGAATGGGCACGCCGCCAACGTGAAACCGCCATTGTCGCTGCTTCCAGCTCGACATAGCAAATCCCACCAGAGTGCCAGCTTCGCTCTTCACGGGGTGGAAGGGCTCTCAATTTTTCTCAAAGTGTGTGCATTGTGCCACAATGTGAACAATGGCTGAAAGATTTTCTGAAAGATGCAAATGCTAATTTTTTATGATGTGAGCTAGTGTTCTGTGGTGAAATTGCTTTATTAAAGTAAGTTGCTGACCAGTGAAAATGCCCAGGAAAACTATAGTCGGTGACAACTCAAGAGCAGAGTGGCAAATGCTCCTCAAAGGGAATGGTAGCCGTACGCGAGCAAAGCGAATCGCGTCCAAGCCTTTCCGTGATGTCATGATTTTGCAAACCAATCCTGTTTTTTCGTCCGAAAATTTTTTGAACTAGGCAGTCCCCCTAGTTGTTGGAGGCACCGACTTTTCACAGTGCTTTATCAGACACCTTCAAATGGTAAAACGCTACCCAGAAAAAAAAATATTCTTAAAAAACATGGATTTTGAATTGCCATATTTACATCTTCCAACATCTACAGGGTATTCCCAGAAAGTTTTATTTATTTCCGCACTATAGTTTTTATGAAATATTTTTGATCCTTTGATGCTAAAGAAAAGGTAGACGTTCGAGCAGTGTGAATGTGTTTTTCTCCATTTCCACTTTTTGGCATAAATTTCACTTTAAGAAAACTTTTGTTTGGTAACAAGACAAAAGGAATGGTTCACTCATTGTTTTTGCAAACTGGAATTTAATGGGAAATGCAACTGTGGCATTGTCCTTTTACTTTGTGGATGTCTTTTATAAAAGAAGTTGCGATGTTGTTGACAACATAAAAGGCAAAAAACTTAATTTTTCAGTGCAAATCTAACATAAAATAAATTACTTTTTGGAAATTTTGTTTTTGCGTTTGCACTTCTCCAGGCATTCTGCTGAGTGTCTAGGGAAGAAAAATGTTGTTTTACATTTGTTTTTCTAAGCAATGTCAGTGTGTTCCTGATAAAATGACTAATTTCTTTCACAATTCATGTACACAAATCAAACTTCTATTGGCCTTCATTCACAAATGGCAAGAGTACCGCTGGCTCTACGGTTAATAAAGAAGTCTGTGCCTACTGAAATGACACCTTCATAGCAGTATTTATTCATCCGTAATACGTGGCACCCTTGCCAGCTCTCCGTCACAGTCAGTCGCGTGGTAAGCAATGACTGCTATAGCACATGCATCTTCGTGGGGAACAACATTGAGCTGTTACGTGCATGTTTCAGCAGACCGGTACCATGGTTTGTCACCGTGGTACCGGAGCTGGCCCTACCTCTATGTGACTGTGGAGTGCGCGCTTCAAAGCACGGGTAGTGCGGTGACAGTCATGTGATACAGACCTCTCTTTGATGTCGTTGTGAAGTTGACTTTCGAGAAGGTTGTAAAATACTAAAGTTGCCAAGGTTTTTAATTTGTACCTGACATAGAGCGGCCCGGCTATCCTAGACAATTTGAGGCTCAAAAATTTTTTTTTTTTTTTTCCTCCTGAAAGTTGATTGAGAGCTGGCCAGTTTGAGTCACGCTCACTCTCTTCTTTGTAGTCATGTGCCGTTCAGACAGCCACCAAATATGATCGAAATAGTGGGTCATTGAAGGCACACATTCAATATTAAAAAAAAAAAAAAAATGAAACCCATTTTTTTGTGGCTTCTAAAAAGCTGCAAACACATTGATAAAAAAAAAATAAAAAAAAGCTGCACAGCATATTGGAAGTACATGCACCGCGTAATTCTCAAGATGCCATTGTATTGCTGGAGTCGTGGGCTGGACGACTGGACAAAGTGGACTAAGGGATGACGACGGGAGTGGGCCCTCTATTTCAGAACTGTTGTTCGTGGTACCGGCGAATCTGTCTAGCTTTGAAATAGACATTTTTTTACCGATCAAAACAATTAGGGTTTTTTCCGTACGAAACTCCCGCCCACCAAGCTGATTCGCACAGAGACATCGCCGAGTCATCGCCCCTTTCCCTGGCTGAAAACGTTGCTTGTCTTACGAACATGAATTGGTAAGAGCTTGAAAGACGTGCTTGACGTTCGTGCGTTTTTTATCCGCTTCGCATAAAAAAAGAAAAAAGACTTGGTCTGCCGTAGTTACATGACTTCCGGCAAACTCTCTCCTCCTCTACATTTCTCCGTCCTCCCCAGTCCACATGTCATGACCATTAACTCCGTGCTCATGTTTCAGTTTCAAGCAGTTGCGTCTTTTAACTTTATTGAAAATGTATGTAACTGTAGCAAAAAATTGATTGGGTAGTCTTCACAGCCTGCCCGGAACTCTGCCGTTATCTTTTGAACCTTGGGGATTTCATTCCACCCAAATAAAGCGACGCACGCATGATCTTGACGCAGGCAATGCAAAGTTGCCATGTTTACATCGCGCCGCCTTTTGCCTACACTTGGGGGTGCTTCCGAGAGGGTGTTATAAATTGTCTGTTTGTTGCATCCACTGCATTTGTCTCCTTCCCGATCTCGTGGCGTTTCCAGAGCACTATTTCCCTGACAGTGGAGGCACCTCAAACGGGCGGATTATGCTTGCGGGCGGGGCTTCTACTGCTCTTGACTTGTCACCGACTATAGTGTTATGGTTCACTGCCCATGGTTTCAGTGTGTTAGCTCAACCATAGCAACAAATTTGTGCTTGGCAGATACTTTTGTTTATCGTATAAGATGTGTACGCCCCACAAAATACAAATAAGGTTGTTCGTGTTTTATTTTTATTTTCACGTCCATGACATCATTCCCGGGACGGGGGAAACCATTGAAAATTTCGGGAGCTTTGAACCCGTAAACCAGGGGGCATAAAAGAGGAAGGGCAATCTTAAACAAAGACACATAGTGGACAATGAAGACACGACCATCAGAAAAAGATAAAACCTAGCGGACGTTAAAATAGTCGTTGACAAAAAAAATGACCGCATCTCCACGTGGTGAATGATGTTGATTGGGGCGAAGCTCTGGTGGTGCTGATACGCTGAGCCGCAGCATGCCAAGCTTTTCTTTCGTCTTCGTCCATGTCAGAAAGAGAATGTGTGGTATGGAACGTGGTTATATACGCATTTGACCGCGGCGCCCTCTCGTCTATAAACGTTGAGCCAATGCATGCAATGTCGGCGAACCTAACGTTCGCCGGCGCTAGGTTCGCCGGCGCAAAACGATGTTCGTGCCCACTTCGCCACGCTGCGTCACGCTGCAAAAGGAATTGTCAACAGTGTCTATAGTCCGGCGCAGTCTAGCGAGCCTCGACGCGCTCGTCCTTGCTACGCATGCGCGTCGTCATGGCAACCAGGGAAATCGCGTTACCATTTCCGGTTCTTCGGTTTGTCGCCGTTCGAAGTGAGCCCGCGAGTCCTTGTTCCTCGTGTTTAGATCTGCTGTCAACATGAACGTAGACGCTCAAACAAAGAAAAAAAAAATAGCAGCTGTGCTCCTGTGGCGTCGAATACAGCGCCGGAGGAGGCGTACGATGTATGTGCGCGACATCTTCGACAAGCGGGGTTGGGAAGAGGGATCACAGAGCGGGAAGCCCAAATACTGAAAGCATGTGTATGTGCGTGTATGTTTTTGTAGGGTTCGGTGTGTGTGTGCAGTAAATAATCTTCCAGAACACTAGTGGCGGCGTTCCTTTTCGTCACCGGCGCCGCCACCACCGTACCATCGCTTCCCCCACTCAACGCGCATACATACGCGCCTACAGAATACCAACCCTCGCAGTCGTAAACCATCTGTACGAACGAGTGCGTGCATCCACAATATGGGTGAAGGGATTCCCCCGAGGGGTGCTTTCCCTAAACTATTTCTCGCAAACCACCGCAAAAGACGGAGACTTTTTTCTTTTCTTTTTTTCTTTTTCAGTCGTACGCATTGGGAGTGGGCAATTTAAAACTCTGTCCGTCTTTTGTCCAAACCCGTCGCAACGTTTCCATTCTTTTTCAACTTTGTCACATGGTGTTGTTTACTACTGCTTGTCATTTTTGGTTTTCCGTCCTTTCCGCGCAGGTTTGGTCGTCCGACTAAAAATAGCAGCAAAAATAATAGAAAGGATGCTTACAGCATTGACTATCGGTTCCGTAATAAACATATATGTAGCAGTGACAAGCGAGCTGCCATGCCGCGCATTTTGTGGGCTATTCATACTGGGACATAATAGAGCGGGTCACAGCGGGCCCGTGAAAATGAGTGTTGGGCCGGGCCGGGCCGGCTGTCGGAAATAGATAGCGCACCCAAGAGACAGCGGGCCGGGCTGAGACAGGCTTCTAGATATCGGCCCGTGCAGACCTCTCGTACTCACAACTTCACTCGCGTAAGCGAGGATATAATTTGATTAATTTCGGCGAGTTCTACAGGCCGAGGAGACATGGACATGCGAAGTGTCAACTTACCGCTCTTCATGCCGCAGATCGTAGCCACGAACGCCCATCCGTTCTCCTTCCTGAGTTTGTCCCGGTAATCGATGCAGCCAAGATCGTAAAGGCTAGGGCGACCTCTGACTGCCTCAATGAGACGCTCGGCATCACTTGTTGGCAAGTCCATTTCGCTAACGCTCTGGCTCATCTGGCTACCGCCGTGCGCCATTTTGATTTCTCCCTACCCGTCGCTCGCGCAAAGATTTCTGGGTAACGACCGTCGCCAGCCGACGCCGAGATTCGAGCAAAGCCTACCTCGGCGAAACCTTCGCTGACGGTCGCCGAGGCACGCTACGTTGCGTTACGTTCGACTGTCGTCGGAGTATAGACGCTCCCTTTGCAGCAACGTAACGCAACGAGGTCGGGCGCATGCGCCCGTCGACGTTACGTTGGAGTATAAACGCACCTTAAAGGGGCCCACCAACAATTTTTTGACTGGTTTGAAGTTCGCGCTGAAACGGAGCTCCATGAAAGCAGGAACACCGAGGAAAAAAAATATTACACAAATTCGCAATATTTTGTGAGTTATTAGCAAATTAAATATTGCAGAAAACAACTTTAAATAAGCAAAACATAGCGCTTCATGACGTAAAATGAAACAGTTTAGCGATTGGAGCAAAGCGGTTGGCCAATTGGACGCGAGTTTGGTTGATAGCCCGTCGGCCCGGTCGGCTCGTCGGCCATTAGGCCTAGCTGCAACCATCGTAGCTTTGGGACCGGGTTGCCATCATCGATGAATTTACCGTGCTTATCGGATTTTTAGTGCGGATTTGGGTGTCGCGCCGTACGAGGACAATCCACGCAAGCGCCGCGTCTCTGCCTCAGTCCGCTTCGACAGCCGCGAAACACTCGTCTCCCGCAACTCCGCCACCGGAGCCACCTCGGCGAGTAGGAGGGAGAAACTGGTGAGCGGTCCCGTTGGGCACCGGTCCCGTCGCCGCACTTCACTCGAACAGTGAAAAGTCTGTCACAGCACTAAAAGAAAATAAGGATTCCCCTGCCTCCTCTTACTGCTTTTAGTTGACCGGGACCCGGGGCGCACAAGTGAAAATACGATGCGCGTTGTGTGCACGGATCACTTGTCGTCTGCTCGCGATGGTACGTCGCGGACGCCGCTGGAAGGCGCGCATGAGCGACAAGGCGTTGTTTTCGCCCTTTTTGAACTTTACTTTGCAACTTTATTAGCTCTATAAAAATGACTTGTTAGAGAAATAATGACGGTTAACGTGTGATATACTTTATTTCGCTTCAAAATTCCTGGGACGGCCCTCGCCAATCACGAAACCCAGAGAATGTGACGTATTGTGAAAGGGAGCGCCGTTATGCGCGCGCATTCGGCACCTCGCGGCGCCACCGTCGGAGGAGGTGTTTCCGAGTTGTCAAATTAAAATACGATGCGCTAATATTTTCAAACTCTTTCGTTGTCCACTGGGTTTCCGGGACCACTAGCGTGTAGAAACCGCAAAAAAAAGTGGACGCTCAAATACTGTTGGAGGGCCCCTTTAAGAAAGAGAGGTGCATGGACAGGGTCAAAGCATTCCCCCGGCTGGCCTCTCGGTCCGGCAAGATGTTTTACACCTCCACTTTGCACCAACTTTTGGCAAAAGTGGCGGTGCTGTGTTTGGAGAAAGTCTACGGTAAGTGTAACTCTCAAAATGTGGCTTTGGCGTCCGGTTCCAGCAATGCCCTTGGTGCAAGCGCGGCACGATCTCCCGGCCTCGATGCACGTGGCGGCGGCGACGGGGCAGCCCATCCTGGCGCCCGCGGCCATGAACAATGCGCAGCTCATGGTGCAGTACACGCCGCCGCAGGGCATGATGCACCCCTCGGGACCTCCCCAGGCCACCGTGGCCTACCCTCAGGTGGGGGCATTTCCTCACTCGGGGCACTTAGCCGCTTTTCCTGTTTCGCCTCATTGTTTGGCTGGAAGGGATCTGTCAATGTACCGTTAAAGTGTACACCTTGAGCGGTGAGCTGTTTTGTTGCTCCGACCGGCTTGCGGGGGCCGTAGTTTTTACCTTTTGACGGGTTACGTCGAAGCAAAGTATAAGACGATGTCGTTGATCAGTGATGTGGCACATCTTCCTTGAACTTCTTTCTAATTTGGGACAGTCCCAAGCTCACAGCTCTAGGCTTCTCTTCTTTTAAGCCCGCTTCAGACGGGGCAACTTTTCAAGCAATTTTGAGGTTGCTGGCGGGTTTGTTACCTAGCTTTCCCCAGACCGACACGAATTGCTGAGATCGGGTCCGGCTCGAAACGGACGAGCAACTCGAACAACTTGGAGCCGTTTGAAGCGGCCGCAGCCAATCAGGGGCGCGATATTTTCACGTGACACCCCCGTGGTGGTGATGATGACAGCTAAAGACTTGGTTCTGGTTTGAAATCGATCGTTTTTGGAAATAAACCTTTTCAGAAAGATGAGTTAGTATTCTCAATGCCATTCAAAGATATAAAAACATGTTTTTAGCGCGTGGCCGGGCGTCTAAATAGTGAAAAAAAATTCAAAGTGAATGATGATGATAGCAAGTTGTAGCAATTCGGTTGCTGCGTGTGAACGCGGACGCCCCGTGTTGCTGGTGCTGCGACGTCAAGTTGCTGGGTGAAATTGCTCCGTCTGAAGCGGGCCTCAGGAAAGTCTAAAAACTTGTAGATATCTTTGCGCATGTTATTGTTTCACTCTTGTGACATCCTTCCTTAGCGATTTTAGAGCAGCTTTTGTTCCCAGTCGGTCGGAAGCCAATTTACTCAGGTCTCTACTTATGGGGTCTCTGCGTGTTTCATTATAATAAATTGGAAGGCTCACAGTTGCGCTGCTGTGTGCAGCTGTAGTCTTGGTTCCGCTACGGTCACTTACCTGGTGCAGACTAAAAAAAGTTTCTACCGTGGGAGCATGTATGGCAGAACCTTCTTTCAGAGCGCACTCGAGGCATGCTGATCGAAGTACAGCTAAATCATTCTTCGTATGACGATGAACCGCAGCATGTGCTACGAGGAATCCGAGCCAATCCATGGGTCGCATGGTACACGTGGAGTGCCGGGTCGGTTAAAATGTCTCGTAGCATCCGCTGCAATCCGCCGCAAGGTGAAACGAAGTATGGGTAGCTAAAGGGTAATCTACGTGGGACACATGTCAGCCTGGGTGGCTTCACGCTTCTTCGCGCGATGAAATTAGTTTGGGAGTTGTGTCTGAATGGTCTCGGAGGACCCAGTAATGCAGTTTGCGCTTGTTGCTGCTCTGTGCATTGCGGTGGAGCCCGCTCGAGCCTCCTGTCCCTGTCCTCCCTTTCCCTCCTCCCCTGGGGCAGGCTCAGTGCTTTGCCCCCCTGGCCCAGATGTACCCGATGATGGGCCACCACCGGGTGATGTCCCCCCAGCCCATGGGGATGGTGGCCGCCACCCACACGGCCTCTTACGGGGACGCCAGCCACCTGCCCCAGCTTTACAGTGAGTGCTTGCCTCGGCTACCGTTCTGGTCGAGGGAACTCTGTGCGACGGCCTTTGTTCAAATACTTGGCGGTGGAGAATACATCCTACTCCGCTCCTTCATATTAGACAGGCCCGCCTGCATAAACTGAGCACTAGAGATCTGCGCGAGCTTGGGCGAGCCCGAGAACCCGACCCAATCGTCGTGGGAGTCGCGTTTCATCCTCCGCGATCAATTTTGCTTGTAGGTGATTGCTTGGCAAAAGCAGGTTTTCATTTTCTATTCAGAATAACCCGTGTCCTAGATTTTTATGTGCTGGAATTACCAAATGATACCAACTAAACTCTTCTGCATTTACAGATTTTTCCTTCCCTAGAAATTCACCTACCGTAAAATACCGCAGAAGGGCCCATTTTGTTCAACGGCCCACTGTTAGCATGTTTGAAACCTGAGAATTCTGCAAATTATACCGTACGTTAAGCGACCGATTTGACCGGAAAAAGCGCCCATGTCTACATTAATCCAGTTTTAAGTGAAGTGGGCGCTCCCCTGGTGTTTTACGGTACACATAAAATGAATTACTGCTTGTCGTTTCGAGTAAGTGGTAAAGCTTCATAAATCAAACCTGTTTTCTTATAACTACGCAATCATTATAGACTCGGTTCCCGAGCGCGAATAAAATATGGCTTCGTTGACGTTGACATTTTTGTTAAAACGGTATAATTCTGAGTGGAAGGAAATTTGGTTTGCCATGAATCTTGGAATCTAAATAGAAGTTAGAACTTAATCAAAGATATGGAGATGAATGAACAGTAGTGATCTTTTTATCGGCGCCAGGATTCGAACTCCGGCAGTGACCCTGCGCGTGGCAATATTGAAGGGGCGGGGCGGGGCGTTGATTACACGAGGTAAAATTTTTGCATTTACACACTTCGTGCAAATGTAATACAGTCTAAGCTCGTTACAACAGACCCGGTTACAACAGACATTTGGATATAACATACCAATTTGTGAAGTTCGTTTGGGTTTCCTCTATGTACCATTGACTGAACTTCATATCTGCATACAACATACTCCTTTTACAACAGACCGAAATCTTCGTCAAAATCAAGGTCTGTCATAACGAGATTCGACTGTATTAGGTGCCAATATGACACGGCAAGGTACTGTGGCACATCTCCAGTGATGTAGGCGCCCCCACGGCTGGTTGGGGGCGCGCCACAATAATCATGCTTTATAAAAATTGCAAACTATTTTTAGGGCGCTTTCGGGGTGCTTTTTGCTGAAGGAAAAGCTCCCTACGAAGCTCACTCAGCACGAAAAGCAACACAACCCGTCTTAGGTGATATATATTGCTAGTATCAGGCAGGCACGCTCGGGTATAATCCGCGACTACGCATATAAGAACTCGTAGAAGTCCAGCCCCAGTCAGACCGCCGAAGCCCCCTTGCATGGATCAAGTTTCGTTCACGGAGCCAAGAACTCGTACGAAGAGAGACTACCGGACACTCTCAGCCTACAGCACCAGCGTGCACCTCGTTGTGCGGTTCTGTTGCGGATTAAATAAACACATTTACCGGGAGTATGTGAAAATAGGCCTAACCACTTTCATGATTTCACTGTCCGAAAGCGGACCATAGACGACAGCTTGTTTGTTGACATCAATGCATCCGATAGGCGAAGAATGTCCGGGGATCTGCAATTCCTTGACCCAAGCTTCGTCAAGTGTGCGACAGTTCTGTTTCGCGGTTGATAACTTTCGTAACTACCGCAACTACGCACTTGCGGCTATCACGAGAGCAGCCTGGCTTGGCTTGACTTGGCCTGACTGCTTGGCGGCAAAAGAAAACTGGCTTGGTGGCTCGCTAAATTGGACACAGTTTGAGACTCGCGGATCTGAAAATTGGAGGTGCATTGATTACGGGAGGGAAAAAGAAAAGCCAAAATATTGACGCCCGTTGTGGGGCGTGCGTTTATTATGCGAGTAAATACGGTATGCTAACCACTGCACCACACACACAAGATCAGGTAGTCGAGCGTGGAAACGTTTCCCGCACCATCGTGGCTAAGGTAGCGGTACTACTAATTCAAAATGTGTTGCCTGTTTCTCCGAACATTAGCCGAAGGGTAAATTATGGGATCTCACTTGCCACGTTATCAATCCCTTTCTAGACCAGGATTAACTTGCTATCAACTTGCAACCTCACTTCCTTTTTGTTTAGGGTCATCAGATTCACATCTAAAGGGGGCCGGGTTCTACCCCCAACAAGCAATTCCTCGCTTTTTTTCTAGTGAATTGACGAGTGACAGCCGCTTTCGTCCGCAAGAATGATTTACATCATTTTCAGAAAAGGCTAGGAGCCAGCCAGCCATAAGCACTCTATAAGAAAACGGTAGGTTCGGGCCGGGTTCGCATTAAAAATGACAGTCGTGCTCGGCCCGTGTAGGGGCCAGAATGCTCGTCGGCCGGGTCAGGTTCGGGCCAGGACTAAAGGGGGGGGGGGGGGGGGGGGACACTACCCAGAGAAAAAACAATTTTGCAAAAAACATTGATTTTGAGAAATTACGTATTTACATCCATCTACATTCAGAGAGTATTCCCAGAAATTTTCACTAGTTTACAATACATAGTTAATATTTTATAAATTATTTTCTGTCCACCGGAGCTAAGGAAAAGGTAGGTTTTGAGCACTTTGAACACTTTTTCTCCGTTCCACTTTTTGGTATAAATTCCATTTTAGTCAATCTATCTTTTGATAATGGCAATACAGGGAAGGCTCGTTCTTCACTTTTTCTGACTGAAATTTTATAAGGAATGCGCCTATGGAGTTCGTTTGTCACTTTACGGATGTCTGTTATAAAAAATATTGAAATTTTGTCGGAGACACAGAAGACCAAAAAGTTGACCAATTTTGCAGAAAAGAAAATTGATAGAAATCAGACATTTTACGAAAAACTTTCCATAGGTGCACCTTCTAGGCATTCTGCTACATATCTAGCGAATAAAAATCTTGAATATTGTGATAGTTTTCCGACGATAGATTAACTAAAACAATGGATTGGTGTTGCTGAAAGAAGCTGCCCTAATTTCCTTCCCACTTAACCGACGGGCCTGAAATTTTGTTATGCACCCTCTAGCATGACCACCAGCCTGCCGTGTAAATTTCGTTAATTTTAAGCCGAGGGTTCAAAAATTGACCCTCCCAGGGGTGTCTCCCCTTAATCGGGCTGGTCAGGTCGGGCCTTAAAAATCCGGCTCGATCCGATCTCTACTGGACATTGCAAAGCGTGAAGCTACTAAACTGAGAACTTGCACGTGCTTGTACGGACGCAAGATGCAATTGACTTCTCAACAGCATTTGTAAAGACTGCTCGGTCTGTGCTCAGTCAGCAATAAGAAATATGCCCTCTTTCTGCACCATAAAAGGAGCGTAGATGCATGCTTTTGTAGTCACTGGCAGCTAAATAATGCGGGTCGTAGCGAGTCGTGAGCCGCTTATTATCGCTAGGCTGCCCACGAGATTGCGTCGCCAATAACAACCCGAAGAACAAATCAAGAGAGATTATGAGTCCTGCATTTCTAAAGCTGTTCTGCCGCATTCCTCTGGACCCTGGTGAGCTCTCCCGACACAGCGGTGCCCCCCTCTTCACCCCCGCAGTGTCGCACCACGCGGTTCTGCAGGGCGGCCAGGGCGGGGGCGGCCCCCCTCCCCACTCGAGTCCCCCGACCCCCGGGGGGGGGCAGCACGCCGGTGGGGGGCCAGGCTCCGACACCCCCCGTGGTCTACCACCAGCCCCCCGGCCAGGGCGGGGCCGGAGGGGGCCCCCAGGGCTCTGGGGGAGGGCCCCAGCCCCCGCTGGTTCTGGTGCCCCACTCTGGGGGGGCTAACACCCCGCCCCACCTGATGCCCCACAGCCCCATGGTGCCCCCGCAGCTGGCCACCGCGCACTTTGTGCACCACCAGGGTGAGAGTTTGTGTCCCTCTTCGTGCAATGCGCCTCCGCTGCCCCTTCCCCCACCGCTCGTGTATGCGGGCAACGCCTTGCTGGGGAGAGTTTGGCGGCGTGTCTTGGGGGCCGGGTTTCGGCTCTGGACAAGGTCGAAAGCCGTTCCGGTACCGCGTCGCCTAAAAAGCGGCTCCTTTTTGGCATTGGCTCTTTGCAGCCGGAAGTTTCATCACGACGTTGCCGGCCATTGGAGTTATCGTAAACATAGGCCACACTCCTTTTCACTTCACGACGGACCACATAGGACGCTACAAATTATTGAAGCCAATGGAATGCTGTGCAAGTGTCGCGTGACCTTCGGGCAGGGCAGTGCACGGGGTTGTTTGTCACCCGATACCTTCACGGCGCTGGGATGGCTCATAGCATCTGCTCTGTTCCGTTGTGAGGTGAAACTGAGTATAGGTATTATCTGTCCCAAAACTCATACATGCATCATAGGTAGATACCGCAGACATTTGCACCGTATTTGCCATTGTTGCTGCATCACTGGTGCATGCACGATGGTCAAGGAGTGGGAAATCAAAACTGTGGCTCAGGACTTTTTCGTCGAAGTTCAAAATCAATAAAGTAAAAATCATTAAAAAAAAGTTTATTATGTAGGAAATTTAGTTTTATCAAGATTAAACTGCCTTTCTCTTTCGAAGAGAGCTGTATCGGAGGCTTCTGTAACGTACGTGCCGTAACAAATGGTTAATTACTATTTAAAGGGACTCGTAATTTACGCCGCAACTTTGCCTCCTTGCCGTGCCTCGCCGAGTCAGTAAATATGCTAAAAGCATTTTTTGCTCGACCCGTCTACGACTGGGTAATTGTGCCGCATTGCTCTCTCTAGTCCGTTCTCCAATCTGCTCCATGGGGCACGCGTGTGTATGCTAAGCAAACTCTCTCCACCAATGGCTCTGCCAGAAATCTGCTTGCTGCACCCCACCTAGGCACTTGATAAGATGTAGACATGCGGGGAAGTGCCGGTGGGCTTGGCCAGAGGGCGGTTAGGCTCTGTTGGAAGCCACAGCTTTTGCCCATGGTCTAGGACCAAATGCCACAAAAGCGGCGAATTTCAGTTTTAAGTTACTGAAAATTCGCAATGCTGTTTTGTGACGGATTAAATCGTCACATAAGGTCATTCTGCTAATACTTGCACATAAAAAAAAAAAAAATTGCATAAAGCTTTGTGACTGTCCAGCAAGAGGTGGCTCTGGACAGCGTCTAGCATGCCTCAATCCAAGCTTGCCATGGTGTGTTTCCTTCTTTTGGATGCGGCGTCTCCCCTGTGGGATCAAATGCCACGAGGAGAAAGATTGCAGGCCGGAGCCCGAACGTGCGGACTCTGTGCCATCCCCCCGGTGCGGCCCTATCCGAGCGTTTCCTGGCTGTCTGCGGCTTGCGCCTTCTCGCTGCTTGCGTTGCGCAGAAGACGGCGGGTGTGCCTAACCACTGCTTGGTCTGGGGGAAGGAGGACTGGTGCCCGGGGTCATGTGTGGTTGTTCTCTGCTTCCGCCGCAGATCTTTGGACTGGCCTGTCCTGTCACTCTCCTCCGTGGCGTTTGGTCCCCGTTTCCATCTCGGGCACGCGCTCCAACCAGAGGCATAGCAATGTGAGCAGGGACTGCCAAGCACCTGGGTCCGTCTGCACAAAGTGCACAAGCTTGTTCTTGTCGAACGGTCGGAATGCTCCAAGCGAGTCGGTTAGCGCGCAGGGGACAATGACACGCTTGTTCTCGTGTGCAGACTGTCGTAGGTCCGGAGCGGCAGGGCGGGGTAGCCAAGGGAGTACGTGATTCGCTGGTGGGCTTTTGGCTAGGGGCGGGGATTCTTCTAGCGCTAGACTCTTTCTGTACCTTAGCGTTCGCTTCGCTCCAGTCTCGTCGGCCAGAACGCCGGATAGCCTGCGCTCCGTTATACATATTGCGTGCTATGCAGTTGCAGTTCTTTCGATGGAGTGTTAGATGGCTATTCTGCCAACTGAACTTTAATGTTTAAACAAGATTGGGCATCTAAGTACCACAGGTGTACGAGGTAGCTGTCAACCAGGCGCTGCTCCGTTAGTCTGGGAAAAGGCTATAGAGTCCTAGCTGGAATTTTCTGAAAAAGATCGCCTTAGCCAGCACCCATGAAGATTTCTCATAGGACGACATGTCTCTCTGTTTGCAGTGGACGTATGCTAAGACTTAGTTTTGTTGCACTTTTATCTCGCATGCATGCGTACGCCGGGCCCTAGAGCTGCGCCGCTGCTCTGGGTGCAACAACGGGTAGAACCGAGCCAGTGCACTGAGTAGCACTGGCGGCAAAGCTGGAGGGACTGCTGTAAAACGGAGCGTAGTAGCTCATCCAGGCGATCTGGCTGGCCCATACCAATGTCAGTGTTAAAACTTTATTATATGCTTTCTGGAAGGCGATTTGTAAGCTTTGTAGCAATGTGCATGTGCATGCTCTTGGTAGCCTCTTTCGTAGTTGAGTTGCTCTGGGTGTTGTGTGCTCTTTTGGCCAAGGTTGTTTTGTTTGCTTTTATAGTGACGGCTCTGTAACGGTGTTGGCTTCTGATTTGTGACTTGTTGAGTCTTTTGGTATTGACCTTGGAGGAAGTGAAAAAGGTTTTTATTGTTTTCTTCTTTCACGTATGTGTGGTTGACACTTGTTATGGAATAGGATAAAGTGGAATGGAATAGGATAAAGTTCTGGCTTATGTCCTCTATTCATAGTAGGTTTAAAGGGAATGCTGTTAAAGTTTTGGTGGGGACAGGTTTCCATAAGATTTACATTCCAATAGGCTCGACATTTTGTAAAGTATTTTCCTGTGATAGGTTTCCTTTCCAGAAAACATTAAACTCAAAGCTAGCTTACTTGCTGTTACGTGTAGTACCACTCTTGGGACTTTTTCAAAAATTTAGACGAAGAAGGCCAATATTGCACTTGTATACTCTTTTCGATGCAACATGTCATGACGTGCCAGAACTTTTACTTCAATCCCTTTTTACCTTGGGACAAGTATGAAGCAGAGGTGACAAGTGCGAGTTCACGGCTTCAGGATATGTTTCAACTGCGTGAAGGTTTGCTTCTCTGACGCAGATTCAAAGGCGAGGAGCTCATGCTCCTAGCCTTTGCTGCATACTCATCTCAAGACTAAACTGAGCGTTTTGGGCCTTGGAAGAAATACAGAAAAAGAAGGGAGACAGTGTAGGCAAGCTGGGAGGTTGCAGTTAAATGTATGATGTCACACAGCATTCACTATGAATAGAAGGGAATTTGGATCTTTGATTTTGCATTATGGTGTCTGTGATCTAAAGGCAAAGCATATTGTTAATGAAAGACAAGTACTGTTGCTGAAGAGCGTTTACATGGGGCTTCAGTAGATGTAGTTAGTTTAAAGTGGCCAAAATGTCAATGGAGCTTCCCTTTAAGATTAGCTATGTCTATGGTGCTCCATGTTTTAAGCTAGTTCAGAATTCACGATGCAGGTCCTTACTATAGTCAAATATTTAAGGCGGGATTGATACTTTGTCACTGTTGTAAAGTTAAACGAAGGTACCTTGGGGACACAGTTTGAAGCGGTGCTTTCTCGCTCACATCTGAGTGATGTAAATATTTTCTCTTAGATGGAGGTGGTTGAGGCACAGTTCAGTAAAAGCTAGCTGCCTCTGCAGGGCCACTCTTGCTTCCCAAAATGTTTTCACTTGCTCCCAGTGCTTGGAACATGCATGGGTGGAGAAATTGCCACGGAGACTTTTTTTACTGCTTTGTTGGGTCTCTGCAAGCAACCTTAACTGTCTCGTGACAGCACGCTTGGACTTTTTTTTTTTTTCTTTTCTGCTGCTTTTGGCTATTGCGCAACTTCCTTTCACCCACTGTACATGTGTTGTCGGAGTGTCTTTTTTCACCCCTTCCTATTTTTTTTTTTTTTAAAGAATTTGGAGCCATCTTTTTTGTCTCCCTTTAACGAGGGGAAGCAGGGAAGGTTGTTTTAAGTGAGGGTTTGGTTTTGTGAAAGGGGAGGGTTCTTGTTGGAAAAAAAGTGAGGGAGTGATGCTTTTTCTTTTTTCTTTTCTGTGTGTGCGTGCGTGTGTGGTGCCGTCTCATTTCCTTGACTATCTGTGTTTTCTGTTATTTTAGTGTTCCCCAGGCTGCTGCCACCAGGTAATGCCCAGTGCAACTAGTCACACCTCCCTAGATAAGAATAGAAATCGAAGGCATGCAGTATCCTGACCTTTTCCCCTAAAAGCTTTTTTTTTTCTTCTTGCTACAGTTTATCACATGTTCTTGCAGTAGTATTTACGTGAGGTCTTCACTTATTTCGAAAATGTGCAGACATTGGAGTGATGATTGGTGTTGAAAACGGGAGTTTTCAGTCTTCATAAAACCGGGGCAAAATGGAGGTCCAACACGCTTGCAACTTTAACTAATTTGGGACTGTGAGCTCACGTTACGTAGGCGGGTCTGCGGTTCATTTCGTGCTTCCTAAAAGAATCTCGTGCAGTTGTTAGTCACCGAATTGGAACGTTGGAATGAGGCAGTCAGTGCCAAGTACCTGCTTGACATCTAAAGTCTTACTAAGCTGCAGAAGTGTATTGACTCTACTGTGTGAGGGCTTTGCTGAAGGCACATGTGCAGGAGCTATTGATGTCTAACCTATTAGAGTAGTGCACCGGAGACAGGGTGGGAGAGCGCCAGGCAACACCATCATCACGACAACCTCCGCCTGGCACGTCTTCACTTTAACCACACGGTGGACACGAAAAAGCCGTGTACTTTCTCTCTACGAGGTCGTAACCAATTAACATTACGGCAGTTGTAAAGAGAGAGGGACAGTGTTGACAGACATCGTAATCTTGGAAATGAGACCATTGCATGAGTGGATCTCGTTTGCTTGCTTGGTCGTCATGTGTAGAGTAGGACTATGCGCTGCAGTTCCCTCTCTGTCCCTCCAACAACGGACCATCCCAGGGGATCGATTGTTGCAATCAGTTATTTTTTATGCAAGTTATAAAAAAATATAACTACAAGTGCTGTTTAATGCTTCCAGGTCTTTAGCTTCTTTGGCTAGAATTGCCAGATAAGCTTGGCTAGCCCACAGATAAAGCTCGCGCTCCTTGCTTGCGAACCCATGACGTGCTCCGTTGCATTGTTCCAAAAACTCTGCAGTTACACCTTTTTTTTTTTGCTGTGAATTATTATGGGTATTTTCAAAATATTTTCTTCCCTTTTCTGTCAATAAATCTTTGGTGGCTTTGTATGCGGGTTTTGGCAAGCTGCAAAGTTCATTGTTATCATAGGCATGAAAGTATTTTAGAGCTTAGCTCTTAGGCGCCCGTTTCCTAGTTGAGCGGCGTCAGCGTAACCGCGTGATGTCACGCGTGACGTCGCGAGGGTGACAAGTGATGTTACGAGGGTCACCCATGATGTCAAGAGGTTCACGAATGATGTCACGAGGGCCACGAATGACGTCGCAAGGGTCACGAGTGTTGTTACGTGTGATGTCACGAGTGACGTCACGAAGGTTACCAGCGACGTCACGAGGGTACATGTGACGCCATGAGGGCTACGAGTGCCACGAGTGACGTCACGAGGGCTATGTGCGACGTCACGAGTGACGTGGCCCTCGTAACGTCACACGGGCATACCCTCCCCTCCTCCTCCTCAAGAGCTGCGCTCTAATTCGGCCTTACAGAAAGTTGTAAACGTCTTTCATTTTTTTTTTTTATATTATTAATAATAGTAGTAGCCTGGAAGCACTAATATAAAAGTAGACTTTTTCACAGATTTTAATGCAGATTCTTTTTGTACAACTTTTCCCGAAAACCAAGTTGGTGCTCCTTCTTTTATACATCAGTGACGCGATTGCTGCGCCATTTTCACCAAACTGCGCCAAAGCACTTGCCCTGCTACATTTGGCCAAAATGGTGTCAAAGCATCCTTTCACTTTATTAGTCGTGAACATATAATGAATCGGGCCCCAAATAAATGGGCACCATTACATGGCTGGATTGTTACGGTAGGCGAGTGCAAATTTCCAACACTTTCTGTTAATATCTCCTCAAATAACATCACATACAATTTGATCTCTGCATCAAACATTGACAGTATTGGAAGTTTTGAAATATTTATCATGCGTGTTTTTCTGACTGGATGGGTTAGCATCGTTGAGTTTGCTTGTCACCGCATACTAGGCGTTGCAATTTTGCATACTTCGCTTCGCCGCAGTGCACCCGCGTGCTAAGGGGAAGGCACTCCCCCAAAGCGGGATGTTATGGTTTCTGCAAAATATTACGGCTAGTATATATATGATTGCAATGTTCTGACGGTATAGGTTTCACATTCAAGATTCATCAGGGATACTTGAGTGTTACAAGAAAACTTCTATGAACTGCTTCATGCGTTTATTTTTTTGTCAACTCTCATTTAGTTATTACTTCTATATAGGTTCCATCCATGCAATGGCACAGGGAATTCTGAAGATTAAAACTAAATTAGCTGGAGCAGTAAATGAAGCCTGGCAATACCCTAAACATGTCACTGGGATTCTTTTTCTTTTGTTTATTAAATAAAACATATGTATTGTTACATACATTTGCATATAGCAAACATCAATTATGGTGCTGGAAATGGTTTATTTCAGTGGACTATACTCTTGGGTTTACATTTAATTTCATACCTAAAATAACCAGGCACAGCGGTTTTTAATGCCCTTCAATCAGCATCTTGTTATTGCGCCTTGCACTTCCCTGCGCAATTAAACTGCTAGCTAGGGAATTAAACCTGCCATTTATTTGATGCCATCAAAAGGTTGCAGATAAGCAGGAAGGCAAGGTAGACATGAGCACCTAAATCTTAACATGATATTCCAACTGATATGAATAAAAATGCAATCTGTGCTTATGCTCCAAAAGTACTTACTGCTGCTCCAGCATATACTTCTGGCTGCTCCAAAACGTGCTCCAAGATCCCTTGGACTAATCACATCACCGATATATAGGATGGTGCAAGTCACCAGACTCTTATCTAAAATAGACTGTAAAAATCGACACCTCCAAGTAGAAATCTAAACTTCGTCAAAGGTGTAATTCACAGGTCGGTTTTTTCTTGTAAAATTACAAAGCGTAGCTCTCTTTCTGTAAAAAATAAGGCCAAGGAACTTGCCAGGGTCTACGGCAGGCAGCGACGTAGACGACAGGGGTTCAGTAGCGGGGTGTGTTTGGCGTTCATATTGATATATGGCGCTACCTCCTTATCGCGACCACCGTGGTTTATTAAAATGAATATAGTCTTTTTAAAATGTACCTTCGGTTAAAGAATAAATGCGAACAATAAAAACAAAACTTAAAGCAAAAAAACTCGTCTGCATAACAGCGGCACTGTTGCTGCCAACGGATTTTGTCTGCATGTGGTTTGCTTTCTTTCGCTGGTCGGCTGCACCTTCAGACGCTGCTCCCCACGCCATCTATTAATACTAACGCCATACACACCCCGCTACTGGACTTGGTCTTCTGGGTCGCCGCCCGCCGTAAACGCTGGCAAGTTTCTTGGCCCTATTTTTTACTAAGAGAACTACTATGCTTTGTAATTTTACAAGACACCTTTGACGAAAAGTTTAGATGGCTACGTACAGGCGTCGATTTTTACGGTCCATATTAGATCGAGCCTGGTGACTTGAACCACCCTACATATACCTGGGTATTGGGACACTAGCCTGTTCTTGTGGTCAGCATTATGAACATTGGGAGCCATCAAGCACTAGAAACATGCTTTCAAGCCAAATGAAATTACGGCCTTTTCTATCCGAGTGGTCTAACAATTTGCCGAAGCCGTGCAAATCCCGGACGGTCCCCTTGTGTTACCAATACTTGCACTTCATTTTTTTTTTTCTTTCTTAGTCCAAAATCAGCGATTCCTTTTCCCCTGGGATGGTTCGTTTCTGGCCTAAGCTACCTTGCAGCTACACTCTAACCCCCATGCATGGACTTGCTTGCTCTAGCGCTAACCGAATCGACTCTAGAAGAGGAGGGCTTACTAAAAGCCAGTCTCCGGACTTTGCGTCGACGTCATGGTTTTAACCTCTTTGTTCTCTCTTTGCTTTCTTTTCAGGAGTATGAAGAAGTCTGACGACTTTAGGTAAAGGAAAAAAATAGGCAGTGCTAGAGGAATTAAGTTATTGCGCTTGCCCCCCTTCCCCCCTTCAACTCGCCCAACCCTCCTTAAAAAGAACTTAAAAAAATATGAAAAGCGTAAACTTAATTTAATGCTTAAAAAACAGCATTCAAAAGGATGCCGGACCCCTCAAAAAGCTAAATTTGTCCGATCATGGAAGAGAGTAGCCTCCTTTGCCCCGCAAGCGACGAGTCTCGGCCCCGGGCCGCCAAGTTCCAGCCCGAAAGCAAGAAGGGAAAAGAAAAAGGAATGCTGCTCCAGTCTGCCGAGGCTTTCCAAGCAAAAAAACTTCTCTGTGAGCCTGACAGCAGGGCAGTTTCCACACTGGACTCCTTGTAGGCAAACAAATGAGAGAGAGAGAGAAAAAGGAAAGAGAACATTTACTAGTAAAACAGAAGCGGTGTGTGTGTGACATCATTTGCTCGGGTGGCTGGCGGGGGATGAGGGCAGTTCTCTTGCACATGAAGTAAGAGTGTACAGACCCATCTGCAACACTGCTGCATCGCTTTCTGGCACGCTTGGACTGGTAGTCCATTGTTGGGCGGTCCATGGACCCAGTGTGTCTAGCAGACATGGGCCTACGTTTATCACTGTTTCCTAATGCTTAGTGCCGTGGTGCGACGTTTGGTTTGCCAGTGCAGTAGTTGAAATCGTGTTGCACAGTTGATTTCCCACAGGTTGTGGCTAAACTGACACCATTTCACCTTAATGCATTGTACGAAATTAGCGAAACACCTAAAAAGTCTACTTGTTCACTCTTTGGTGACGGGGCGGTGGGAGCCCCGTGTTAGCCGCGCCAATCAACCGCCTGCCTTTTTATCACCTGACGCCCCTCTCTGTGTGGGCAATGTCACTGGGTCCTTCGAAAGTAGTGCCAAGCTCTCTGTATGTTTGCCATTTTGGCTCGTGGAATGAGCAGTTTCTCCCTGTATCTCTCCATTCTTGGTCGTCCAATCTAAATTCGCTGGTGACAGGTGGCTTTATAGAGACCTTTCTTGAATACGGAGATTTTTTTATCCACACCGGCGAAAGAAGCACACATCGTCGCACCACTACCACATGCGGCGCCAGTGTTTGGCAGCGTGGAAAAATAATTTTCCTGTCTTCCAATGTGCAAAAACAATACATTTGTAGGAGATCTGTGGAGATAAGCATGATTGATAAGTGGATGGCATGCGCAGCTCCGGAGACGTTTGTATTGGCGAGGAATGTTTTCAGTATGATGATGCTCCATAGCGATCTTGGTGCGACTGGTTCAGGACGACTGCTTCGAAGATTTGAATGGACCAAACTGGTGATTGCCATGGCAACTGAGACCGATCAGCCAATCCCCTTGTGATGTTTGGTCGTCTGTATGTTAGTATCTGTTTGTGGCCGGCTAACAGGTGGGGAAGGCATTGGCACGACTTTCCCAGGATCCAGTGACTTTATTTGTGGTTATGGGCAGGATCATTATCACGTGCCAGAAGGTTGGTGAATGACTGGTCTTACGAGCACACAGCTTCCATTTTGAATAAGCATTCCAGTTGTGGATTTACAAATCTCGGGGGAAAAAAAATTACTTAAGGTGTAGTTGATATTAGTGCATGTACAAATATTTTCATTTGCATTCTGCACTTTTTTTTTTTGTAGTTTCCATGCTGAAATATGATTGTTGTGCGAAGTAAGTTTTACAAAAATTGGTTAAAGAATAATCTATTTTGCATTTAAAACTTGTTTGTTTCGATAATACATTTTAAATGCACCAAAACGTCGACTGTATAAAAGAAAGAAAAACTGCTCTCTGAGGGGTCCAACTTGTTTTAATTAGAGGCTTTTAGGTGAAGACGAGCATAGTGTTTCATTATAGAGGGACCATACTGTTTTCACGGTTTTGTGCGAGACTCGTGGATTACAAATTTTCAAGTCGCATTGCAGTAGCGGTTTAGTGCAAAATTTGTAGGTACAGTGCTCACCAAACTTACGGAACATGAAACTGCAAAGTACAAGCCATCTGGAAGCACCACGTCGGAAAGCCATTCAGCTCCATGCAGGATAGTGCTGCCACGAGAAAAGACACTGTGTGTGTGTTCTGTTTAAATTTGGAGGGCACCGTACACGCATTTTGTAGACAGAGGATTGGAGTCATTTCGCCATGATTCAAACAAGAATTGGCAAATTATCAATGATCCCCCAAACAAAACGTTGGTCAAGCTGTGACAACTGCACTTCGCCCTGAGTTTCAAGTTTGAGTCGCATGGTTCAACATATTTTCAACTTTTTGACTAAATTCAACTGCTTAAGTTGAAGTTATGTGTTTGTCAGGTTCGATGGGCTCTCAATCTTTTAACGTGCAGAGTCGCCTGCCAGGCTGGCACAAGGCCCATTGGCAACGTACGCGGCCAGAAGCTTAGCAGAAGTCTGCCTTTCACTAGACTCGAGTAACTGCATAGGCTTTGCTGGCAGAGCCAGAGTATCGCGTTCCTTTTCCTTTTGCCGACAACCCCGTCTTGGCGGAGAAGCGGTGACGTGCTCCGAGCTGGATCCAACCTTTTTGCGGGAAAGCGACCTTGCAGGCGCCGACTTTCGGGGGAGCATGTTTCTCGCTTTGCGTTTGCGAAGTATTCATCATACACTAAAATAGAACGAACTTGAAGGTTCCTTAACCTCATTACGTGTAGCCACTGTATACAGCATAATGGCGTTGTTTTATAACGCGAGCGATGTTTTAAAATGTGTTCTGGGAAGCAGACGACACGGAGGACGATCGCGTGGCTCGCGTCTGCGGCGCTCGCGGAGTGATGCGTGAGTGGCACATCCGAGCACATCGGACCAGACAACCGGTGGGTATGGCTCGCGAAGGGACAACGCTTTCGTCGGCTACTACATTCTACCGAAAGCATACAGAGAAACGGGAGACAAATGACGGGACGATGGCCCACGCACGCCGCAGCACGCAGCCACGCCATCCGCGGCGCTTGCAGAAGCGACGGTTGCTTCCCGCAGTGCGGCCTTGGTTCCAACATGACCTCCCTGGGAGCAACATTGTGGTACTCTGCTCCGTAAAGGCCTGTCCAAACAGGATACTACAAAACTCACGACTCCGGCAAATCGTGTCGCGCTCTGCCGCGATCCGCTTCCGGCCGTCGGAGGGAAATTTCCCTCCGTCAATTCCCGGGGGGAAACTTCCCTCCGTCAAGTCTCCCCCTCGCTTCCTCCACGGCGGCCTTGCTCTGCTCATCACGTGGGTCCGGAGGGCCACTCACACGCTCTGTTGGCTGTCGGTCAATCGCTCAAGGCCTCCGCTCATAATACGGAACCGCGTCGGACGCCATCACGACGAAAGTGAGACAAAGAAAGCAGGTCCGAGGCGGGCGAAACGCACCCTTCGACGCAGGAATGTCCCAAATCCACCCGAAGCCGGACCCCCTTGGCCTTCTAGCCGAGGCGACAACGGTACGCGAGGTCGTTGGCGAGGTGAGCCAGATACAGGTGGCGTGTGACGTCAGGGAAAAGTGGAGGAGGCGAGGAGAGCAGTCGTGATCGTGAAAATTTTCACGACTCCTGCAAAAACTTTTACGACTCCGACAAATGGTAAAAATAAAAGCGTCCGCTTCGATTTTCGCGATTTGTCGGAGTCGTGCGTTTTGTAGTGTCCTGTTTGGACACCCCGACTATACAGTTACTCTACCTCCCACGATTAGCCAAGCGCGCACAATGACCACTACTTTCGTAAGATACTGCTTTCATTGGTGAGAGTCAGACTGCCAACTTTGACGGTGCTAAAGGGGTCATGAAATTGTTTTTCAGCTTTTTCCTGTCTAGCTTTCCTCCAACTCACAAATCGCGAAGTGTACCAGATAACTTACTAGTTTGATCGTACCAAACAGTTCAAGAAGACGGAAAGGGGGGAGTCCCCCTTTGCTCGGACCTTGTTTGCCATTCTCCCCCTAGATTAGCCCTTTGCTCAAAACTCGAACAAAAGTTGCTTTCCCCACTCCGTTCATCCCGAAGCTGACAGTGTTGTGGAAGCTACGTGTTCGTTGGGCCAGCCACACATTTGCCACGTGATCACGCTCCCTCGCGCATATCCATGCGCAGAGGAGGCGGCCAGGAGATGAAAGGAAGGCGGCTAATTGGTCAGGCAAGTCGTAGCTTCCACCGCACTGTGGTGAAGGAAATAAGTGAGGTCCGGTGTCGTGTGACGAGCGTGTGGGTCGGGTGACGCGCTTTGGGTGCCGCGGATGTATCGCAGTGAAAAGGCAGATTTAAAAGGCGCGAACTGAACAAGACGAAAAAAAGATACATGTATGACACGGACCACTGATCTCTATGACAATTGCTGGATCGCGCTTCCCCGCTTGTTCGCTGCAGCGCAAGTGAAGCCACCGGACTTCACTCGCTTGGGATACGATTTGCCGTTTTTGCTAGCCTTTGCTGCGGTTTTCCAGCGTGCTGTAGACACGTTTTCTACTCGTTCGTCGTCATTCGCCGAAGAAGTTTTTTGAAGACTCTGTGTATTGTTGAGACTTGCCGTTGTGAACACGTGGAAAATTTTACGAAAGTGCAGTGTCGCAGGAAAAAGGCACAACGCGTCGAAAGGAAGGGCTGGCGGCGTGTTCAAAGCTTCCTTGGCACGCCGAACTGCCGTGTCTCTGTGCCTTCGCACACATGGATACCGACCAAGAACCGACGCCGTGTGTATGTGTTTAGCGAGTGCAATGTGCGTGAAGCTGTTCGTGCCTCTGGATCATCGTCTTTTCCCCTCGCGGTTTAGGAATGAGCTTAATCCAGCGTCCACTAGCGACGGAAGATGGGGGGAAGGTACGTCTTTTTTTCGTCCTTAGACGATTTACACAATACCGTGCACAACAGCTCCTCATCACTGATCAGTGCTGGCTTATTATCAACCTACTTAATTGCACTTGACGTTTGAGCGCGGCTCGCCTAATTGTAATTGGTCAACAGATTGCACACGACCATATCGGCCGCGCTTCAAAGATTTTCATTCTCGCCGTCTTGTACTTTTGCTTTCGAAAACCCCCCTGGCTCCACAACGTTGCCCTATTCGTGCTCCCACGGAATCTATTAGAGTAGATTTGGGACATAGCCATGGTTAATATAGTACATAAGACCACGTACAGATCTCCCCCTTTTATTGATAGCAACTCACCGGAACAGCTGGACGATTCAGAACTCCGTGGCCGATATATATAAATGATCTAAAGGCATCTACGCGCGACACACGTTCAGAACTTTGGCGCGGCGTCAATTCTTGACCGGTATCCAAGCGTGCGAAGGCACAAAGATGCATCACTCGCCGTGCCAAGGAAGCTTTGATCACGCCGCGACACCGGCGACACGTTTTCGACGAGTTGTACCTTTTGATACGGGTTCACGCACATTGCACTCGCTAAA